CACTCTGAACACAATGGACACTGAGGTTTTGGTGATACACCTCATTAGTACAGATGCTCTGCTAAGAACACACTCCATTGATTTAATACAGATGAGAAATATGGCTCCCTGCTACCAGAACACCAATGAAAGAATCTTGCAGGCAGTTCTAAAAAGTACTTATTGTTACTGATGAAGGAACACTCTGAACAAAGGGGTAAATTACAAGACTATCTATAGGAAACATTTTCCTAGTAGTTAATAGTGTTTTTTTAGTGTGATACTTGGCCACATTTATTGCTATGAGCTTAAATTGTTCTGTATTTTAAATTGTCACTGCCTCATTTGTTTGGTTTGACTTGCTGTTGTTTGTTAAACATGAAATTTCACCTTGAATGTGCTTTCAAAGTGGTTGTCTTGAAAGTCTCATGTTAACAGCTATAACTTTGACTTTAATCTAATTCCATGGTCCTCCAGTGTCAGCCACTCTTCAGGAAAATTTCCAGGCTTTCTGGTAAAAGAGCTCCTTCTAACTGAACATATTATTGTTTTGTCATTATGAAGCTCAAAGTAGAAGTCTGAAGATGACTCATGACTTTTTGTTCTCTGCTGTGCTTTGTTTTTAAACAGTTCCCAGAGCTAAGAACTTCCAGTATTTTGATGGATTCATTCTGTTTCATGTATGCTACTCCATTTTTCCATTTTTGTCTTTTCATAACAATAGTCCAACATTATTGTTAGATTCCAGACTATGCTTTAGAGAATTATATCTTAATGTATAAAAACCTATGCTAGCTCATTTATATCTCCTTCATTGAGTCCCAAATTCCTCTCTGGCTTTCTAATTCTTTTTTTAAAATTTATTTTATTTTTTTTTTATTGTGAAAATACTGTACAGAGGGGTTACAATTACATGGGCAAGATAATGAGTACATTTCTTATCAAGCATTGTAGCCTCCTCCTTTGTTTCCCCTTCCCATCCCATCCTCCTCATGCTCCCCCACCCAACCCTCCTCCTCCCTCCTCCCCCCCCCCCCCCCCCGGCCCACTACCAAAGATGTAAAGTTCGTTTTCGACATACGACTTGTACGTCTCATTGTTGCAATGGGTCCACTTGTATCCCTATTTAAACGATTTGTTTTTTCCCTTCCCCTCCACAAATTATAACAACATCAAATACAGTAAAAGCAGGGGTTATACCATGGGGGAGGGACATACAAAGCAACAAAGAAATCATCTTATAAATGTGTTAGAAACAATCGCATGAAAGAAAAAAACATTTGAATACATATCTTAGGGTTCATTTCCCTAACATCAACTTATCTGACCTTTTCTGCTTGACTCGGACATATACTAGTTATTGCAAATAATTTCATAACCAAATACCATGTCTGTTCTAATATTCCATTACCTTCCAACATACACTTTCCAAGTTAATTAATATACTCTTTCAATTCCTCTTATATATACAAAGAATTTTTCTCCCAACAGCACCTATTCCAAACTTGAGTTACTCTTTGTTTCTTCCTGCCTCATCTCCTCACTGCAATGTAAGCCCAGTCTTGGCCTGCCTTGTTTCTCATCATATCCCAGTATATAGGAAATTGTCTGACACATGGCAAAGTCTCAGCACATATTTATGGACTTAATAACTGTCTGCCCTTCAAAGCTCACTTCAGAGTTAATCCCTTTCTTAACCTATGCTATTTTCTTTGAAAACATTCCTCTTTGTTTTCACTAGCAGATTATAAATTCCTTGAAGATGGAATCTATGACTTGTATTGCTTTGCATCTCCCAGAGTGGTGGATAACATGAGGAAAGTAAATATCATTCTTTGGGGAAGAATACATAGCCGTGATTCATAAACTATAGATTCATTGATTGTCGTCTGTTTGTCAGGAACTGTTCTAACACCTGAGATGATAACCCAGATGAACTGAACTCGGTCCCCACTGTCACTACCTGTATTGCTTGTGCTGATACATTCAAACCCTCTGAGCATTGGACTCTATCCAGGAGCCAAGAAGGTTAAACTAGGTTAGCCAAAATGCCTTGCCCAGTTTTATGTTCTCTGAATTTTGAATATTTATTTCTTAATATCTATTATAATATCTATTATCTAATATCTACCATATCTCTACCAAATATATCAGAGTCACAGATTGATGATTGGCATTCAGTAAGTAAATCTTAAGTGATAGGATCTTTACCTTTCTGAAATGTAATTATTGCTTAAAGCATTGGGTTTGTTTTCAGTTCCTTTTCATGTGTTTACTTGTTTAACAAATGTTTATTGAGTATTCCTACATGAGAAACAGTGCAATAGAAAATGCTAGAGGGTATATCAATGAGCAAGACACCGTCCTTGTTTTCAAGTACTCTGCCTTTGCATGTCATCATACTGTAATGCACTTGCTGACTCAGAAACCGAGATGACTTTTGTTTCTTTCATAGAAGAACAATTTTTCTAAATACGCAAAATCAACTCTAGCTGGCTAGTGTAATCACTTTTAGTAACATATGTTATTTAAATTGGAACAAAGTTGAACAACAAATAAGAAAACAAAATATAACCTGCCAGTACAACTTGTTTAAGGCTTGTCTGAATCCATAGCTTTGAAGCAGCCACCAGATTAGGAAATAGGGTTATTAAGCAGAGGTTTATGGAAAAGGGTATGCTGCCAAAAAGAAATGATAATGAGTGTTGTTCTAGATAATTAATTGGAATTAACAAAATAATAAACAAGGTGCTATGCATGTATTTTAATGTAATGGGTGGATCTATGCTATCTACATGTGAAATGCAATATTCATTATTTTGTCATAGGCCAAGGGCCTGTGAAATGTTATGATGTCCTTTGAAGAATATAATGATATGGCATTCAAATATACTTTTCTTACTGAATTTGATTTCTAGAGATATCTTGTTGCTATAGATCTCTTGTCTATGACAGTTTAATTCACATCACATTCATCAATTTGTGATTTGTAGTTAAAGTAGCATCTTAGAGGTTCCTGCTCCTAAAGTACTTTCTCCCATGTGCTAATCCAGGAAAAGTGATTGTGAGCATATTTTAGGTTTCTAGTAGTTAAAAAGCAGATTAAATCTGTACTGTAAACATAAAATTTGTTAACAGGACAAGAGAGGTTCAAAACTTTATTTTTTGATCCAGATGTGATGGAGTTTGCCTGTGATCCCAGTTATTCAGGAGGTAAAAACAGACTTTTCCTAAGTTTAAGGACAATCCTGAAAAAAGTTAGTGAGGTACTATCTCCAAACAAACAAACAAATGGTCTAGGATCATAGTTCTGGTGGTAGAATATTTGCTTAGCATGTTTCAGGTAAAGCTCTGAGTTTAATCCTTAAAACCAGTTTTTTAAATTGATTTTCCTATAAAACTTAAGTGTTAAAAAACATCCTAACACTATTTACCATAGCTAAGATATGGAACTAGCCCAGATGCTCTTCAGTAGATGAATGGATAAAGAAAATATCCCCAAGTCCAGAGTTCAATCCCCACAACCGATCCCCCCCAAAAGAAAATATGACATATATATATATATACATGTTTATTTATATAATGGAAGGATACAGGTTGACCCATTGTAACAATGAGATGTACAAGACATTATGTTGAAAAGGAACTTTACAACTTTTGCAGGGGGTAGGGAGGATTTGGGGAGGTAGGGAGAAGGGGTGATAGGGGAAAAACGAAGGAGGAGGTAACAATGCTCGATAGGAAATGTACTCATTACCTTACTCAGGTAATTGTAACCCTTCTGTACAGTATCTTTACAATAAAAATATATAATAAAAATCCTAACACTAAATGTATAAGTCCTGGACTTAGTGTGTTCCGTGTTTTGGCCATGGAGAAACATATGGATAGGGGAACACTTGTAATTTGTACAAAACAAATATAACATAGCTATACATTGAAAGAAATCCAGTGCTTGTCCCCAAATATTGAGTTGACTCATTTATAAATCAAATGTGGGATGGGAAACAATGACAATCAATAGGAAGTGTTCAGAGACATCACTGTATAACCATATGCTTGTTTATCCATAAGGTATTTCAGGACTTAGTTCACTGATGCATGGAAGAAATAACCTTTTCTTTGAATTGTCATAGATTCTACTTAATGTTTTAAAAATGACACTTTCTTTTCAGATTTATGGAGCTATAACTAACAAAAATTGTATATGTTTATATTGTATAAGCTAGACTATGATATATAGACATCTATAACATATATACTATTTAGCATATGTAGTGAAATGATTACTACAGTCAAATCAATTAGCACATTAATTTGCCTCTAATGCTAACCCTTTTTCATATGATAAAAAAAATAGATTTTGTCTAAAGTTTTTCTCATCTTTTCTAACTTTGGAATGAAAGAAAAACTGATGACCTTTACTTTTCTTCTATAAAAGCTTAACGTGTTGGCCTAGCTGGCAACAATTCATAGGTCTTAGAAACACTCTTTTGTCCTGAGGTTGTACCTAGAATGTTTTGTTCAAGATTATGTCTGTAAGACTCCTTCCAGAATTCATGGCAACCCCTTCCTTGAGTGATCTTTTGCCTAAGGTTGCAGCCAGCTGGATTTCCTGCTCTAACTGCAACTTGCTCACAATGCCATCTACTTTGTCTACTGCTATACTTGTGGTAGCAAATGAATATACCAAAGCTGAAAATCTGAGCTTCAGCTAATGGACAAATATATAGAGGGTTTATCTAAAATACAAATGCTTTATGCTTTCAATGGTAGCTAAAACACAATCACATTCTGTAAATACCTCACATGAAGAAATGCTCAACCTCCCTAGCCATAAAAGAAATGTAAATATCTTTAGAATTGGCAAAATTAAGAAAAATCAGAATAAGCATTTAGGGCATAGTGAGTCTGCAGTAAACAAGTGGGTCTACTACTACTGTCATCCTCTTAGAGGGTCAGTTAGATTAAGAAATAGCAAAGCTTACTCAAAGCCTGTTTGTTTGTTTGTTTTTTCCTAGTCACAATATTCTTCTCTATGAGGATGGCCATGCTGTGGTGGCAGATTTTGGAGGTGAGATTTCTAGAACTAATACCTTAGATATCATCAGTTTCCTTCTTCATTTCCACATTGTGTCTGACATTATACAATAAATTTCACCCTGACAGATATTATTTCTTTAGTCATTAGGATTTCAGTGGCCCTACATTCTGAAAATATATAACTTACTTTCATTTTTTTCATGTTGATACCTCCAACCAACCAATGGAAAAGGAGTGAGAATTTGAATAAGGCAAAAAGTTTCCTGAGGCTTCAGAGCTTTAGCTGTGGTCTTTTTTTTTTTAATTGTGAAAATACTGTACAGAGGGGTTACAATTACATGGGCAAGGTAATGAGTACATTTCTTTTCTTTTCTTTTTTTTTTTTCTTTTTGGGTCGGGTCGTGGGGCCTGAACTCTGGGCCTGGGCGCTGTCCCTCAGCTCTTCAGCTCAAGGCTAGGGCTCTACCACTTGAGCCACAGCGCCACTTCCGGCTTTTTTTTCTGCTTATGTGGTGCTGAGGAATCACACCCAGGGCCTCTATGCATGCAAGGCAAGCGCTCTACCACTGAGCCAACTTCCCAGCCCATGAGTACATTTCTTATCAAGCATTGTTGCCTCCTTTGTTTCCCCTTCCATCCCTTCCAATCTCCTCCCCCTTTCCCCTCCCCCCCCCCCCCCCGCCCCCGCCAAAGTTATAAAGTTTGTTTTTCGGCATAACGTCGTGTACATCTCATTGTTGCAATGGGTCCAACTGTATCCCTATTTAAAAAAAATTGTTTTTTCCCTTCCCCTCCCCTAATTATACCAACATCAAATACAATGAAAACACAGGTTATAGGGGGCGGGGAGGAACATACAAAACAACAAAACAATTACCTTATAAGTATGTTAGAAACAATCGCAAGAAAGAAAAAAACACTTGAATCCTTATCTTGGGGTTCATTTCACCTAACATCAACTGTTTCTACTTGTCTCATTACTAGCTGTGGTCTTTAACCTTGGTTTTGAGATATTTCCCTGGACATGAATTTGTTTTCTCTTTCATACAGAATCACGATTTCTCCAGTCTCTGGATGAAGACAACATGACAAAACAACCTGGGGTTTGCTGCTGCTTTTCTTCTCTATGATTATGAAACAATTAAAATGTGTAAACTCAGCATGAGAGAAAAGAAGATGAGAGCAGCTTTAACTGGAAGACTGTCATTGTCTCCGTGGCAGGGATAATGCTTTTATGATTTTATTTTCAGAAAACCCCAAAATAACGACTTAAATATTCTTCTAGGGAAATAGGTAAGATCTGCACTTGGAAAATGTTATAGAAAAAAAAATGCAAAATAGGTTTCAGATACACCAAAAAGGCATGTGACAATGGTGGACAATTAGGCTTCATAGGAAGTATTAGAGTTAACCTGGTAATTCTTTCTAAAGTTGTGGCTCACCAGCATCATTAACCATTCAGTTTTCCACTTTAACATTATAAGAGAAATAGGTGGTAGGGCAAGTGTTGATGTTTATGTAAATTATAAATCATAACTTCTGAAGCAAGAAAAATTATATTAAAATGTCTCCAATTAAAATTCATTCTCCTGCCCTCTCCTTCATTGCCCCAGTCTCTCCCCACAAATAAGTATATTTTGATGACAACCAAATATGAAAGTTTAAGTACTCTGTCACAAAAAGAGGCTTATTTAGCTTACAGTTTCTGAAGGCTAAAAAGCCCCAACAGCCTGGTGCTGGCTCTGGTGAGATCTTTCCAGGCTTCACTCCCATAGTGGCATCATGGTGGAAGCTTGTGTGTGAAGCAGCACTCACACAGTATGGAGAAAGAAAGCAAGGAGAGGTCAGTCTTGCTTTGAGTACAGCCCAATTTCTGGACTGATTGGCATCTACTGAGAACTAAGATCACATTTTTTTTCTTTTCAGGTGGAAAGCACTTCCAGAGACCCAATTGTCTTTCCTCAAGTCCCCTTCCTAAAATCTCCCAAGATGGATGCTTGGGAGATGCACTTAATCCCTATCCCAAGAACGCAGCCAATTAGATTTCAATTGTTTATTAAACAGCTATTTAAAGAACATCTTTTAGATGCCAGATATTCTTTTAAGAACTAGGGATGTGACAGTGATCAAAATAATGTTCTTGTTCCTTCGAAGTTAATATTCCACTGGAAGGTGATAAACACTAGGCAAATGAACAAAACATCTATTATGTGATCATGAGTGTTATAAAGAAGCAATAAAACCAGAGTAATGAAAGTAGTACACATGCCATTTAGATGGGGTGGAAGTGAAATATAACATTTTATTGGAGATCTAACAATCTAACAAAGAGTTCATCCTCGTGGATATACATGGACATCTCCCAGCCCACACATTGGCTGGGAGAACTGTGGGTGCAAAAGGAGAGACCATGGTAGGGTCCAAGCTATGGTGGTCAGAATGAGTGGGCAAGAAATACTAGGATAAGAGGAGAGAGAAGTGAAAAGTGCATCCTCTTTTGTCAGGATACACAAACCTCATTAGCATCTGGGACCTAGAAGCAGCTTCAAGTCTGGCTGTGCATTCAGATCAGTTTAGGAATCTTTTTAGGTGAAAAATAGAATGTCTAAATCTAAACCCTCAAAATGTGGTTTCATTTTTCTGGGGTTCATCATGGGTACCCATATATTTCAAAATTCCACTGAGTGATTCTAAACTGCAGTCAGCACAGACTCATTGACTGAAATCTTCAGTGAAATGAAATTGAATTTTACCAACAGTGGATAATAGTAATTATTTAATCCTAGTAGCATAATCTTTAAGTACAGCAATACTGTGGATTTATTTGGGAGGCAATTTTATTTTTCACTAGTTATTTAAGTTCCCTCATTTTTGGGGAGGGTGTGGGGGGGTGGCTATGCATAAGGAGGAATGCTTGATGCCTCCTCCCACACGTGTAATGTTGTGACACAATGTATAACACACTCTGCAAGTAGAAACTCTTTAGAATGTGAAAAATCATGTAGGAGCATTGCCTGTGAGCAGAAACATTAAAATAAAGATATTCTTAGGAAACTGTAATTATGCAGGATTTTAAAATAAGGTAGACATTTCAAAAGAATAGCAGCAAGCCAACACTGGCACCAGGATTTTGGTAATAGTGATAAAAGAATATGAGTTTCCTTTTGTGGGAATAAAAATTTGTTTAGAAAAGTTCATTGCAGAATAGAATTTGGAGCTGGAAGTGTTGGACTCATCTGTCTTGTTCATGAATTCTAAGTCCAAGATAAATGTGAAACTTGCCCAGAGCTGCCCAGTAAGTGGTCGAATCAGAGCCAGAATTTTCATCTCCTAACTCACAATCTAGTGTTTTGTCCCCTAAATTACAAGTAAACCAACTTTATGCATTTGCATTCCAGAACAAAACAATTTTAACTGAAGAATATGTAATTTCACATAAAAAGCGTGTCAGCAATGTCATTAAAAGAGATGAGGCTAGGAGTTTGTACAGAGAAACATTTGTAATATTTCTGAGGGCTGGCTTTCTGAAATATTACACAAAAGAATTCAGACACAGCACATCTGGGCAAACAAAGGAATCTACTTCTATCTGTCCCTTTCTCTTCAGAGCCATGAGAGTTTCCATTATGAGCCTAATTTGGTGACTTCTTTCCTAAATAGGCACATGGAAACCTTAGGGAGGTGCCTACTACCACAGTGTACAAGTCACGCCTGAGTATCAAGAGGGTTCTGTGGCTGACTACATGCAAGCTTGTAGGACAATTAGGAGAATAGGCGGCTATAGAGTGAGGAAAGCAAAATGGCAAAAAAAAGAAATAATAACAATATTTTAAAGTAGAAAACAAGAGGAAAGGTTACTGTTCCAATCACCATTCCTGCATTATTTCACTATTGATATTTTTAGAAGGACTGTAACTTGTATGATCAAATGGTTAAAAAGGTGTCCTTTGAGAAACAGCAAGGATAGAGAATATGTGTACACTAATTGATAGTGTACATCAAGGGTGGTATTGGTGTCATTTTATGTGCATATCTTTTAAGAGCATGGGAGAACTCGTTCTCACTAAGAATCTCACTGTGTGGCGGATAAGGGGGCCCTGGGTAAAGGGTATGCTAATACTCTTGTCCCACAGAACCTCCGCTGGATGGCCCCCGAGGTGTTCACGCAGTGCACGAGGTATACCATCAAAGCCAATGTCTTCAGCTATGCCCTGTGCCTATGGGAACTGCTCACTGGGGAAATTCCCTTCGCTCATCTCAAGCCAGGTGAGACATGCCGTACTTGGTCCCTGTCCTCAGCTCAGTGCAGCTCCACAATATGAAGCAACGTGGTTTTTGTTTGTTTTCCCCCAAAATAATTATTGTCAGTGGGATCACAAGAAAAAAAGTTAAGTGAACAATATTAAGTTGTTGTTTTTTAAGATACATGCTAATCCAAAAAAAGTTACTGATTTACTCTGTAAATTTAGATACTGGCACATAGAAATCTAGGAATAGTTTATGATCTGTCTTTAAAAAAGCAGACATATAATGAAGTCCACCAAATAATGTGGGAAAATGCTGTATTTACTTCTTGAGAATACATTTTAGAAGTCCACTTCTCATATATACTGAATTGAGAAAGTAGACCTCCCCCCCCAAAAAACCTATCAAGGCTAAATTCCTTTAACAGATAGATAGATAGATAGACAAATACACACACATACATACACACATACATATATGTAGCAACACTTTTCAAATTCTTTTCTTTTTTCTTTTCTTTTTTTTGGGGGAGGTTCCGATCCTGAACTCTGGGCCTGGGTGCTGTCCCTCAGCTCTTCAGCTCAAGGCTAGCACTCTACCACTTGAGCCACAGAGCCACTCCGGCTTTTTTTTTTTTTTTTCTGCTTATGTGGTGCTGAGGAATCAAACCCAGGGCCTCATGCATGCAAGGCAAGCACTCTACCACTGAGTCATCTTCCCAGCCCTCAAATGCTTTTTTACACATAGTATGTTACAGAGTGCTACTCACAATTAATATGCCCTGTGTGTGACATTAATTTTTTAGTATACTGATGATGCAATTGTCCTAATCTTTCTGTGTACTTTTTTAAATGATGAGATTTATCTCTTGTTTAAATTTGAGAGTAAGGATTCTATTTTGAATTGGACCAATATTATCATTTAAAAAGTGATTTGCTGTTGTTGGTGTTTCTTAGAGTTTGCATTGTGATACAAAAGGTGGATATAAAACAAATTAATTATAATTCTTGATATACCAGGATATATTATTGTAGGAGAGAGACACATCTTCATTCCTTTTATACCTTATGTTAATCCATTCATCTGGTCCCATTGATTTTTTTTTCTCGTCCTGGGCCTTGAAGTTAAGGCCTGGGCACTGTCACTGAGCATTGTTACTTAAGGCTGGTGCTCTACCATCTGAGCCACAAGCTCCACTTCCAGCTTTTTAAATTCTTAATTGGAGAGAAAAGTTTCATGGAGTTTTTTTCCCCTGGCTGCCTGAAAACTATAATCCTCAAATATCAGCCTCTTGAGTAGCTGGGATTATAAGTATGAGCCACTAGCCTCAAGAGAATAACTCCTAACACAACATGGAATTATCTACTCTTTCCATCATCCCCCACTCCCCTAGTTCAAGCCACAGTTTTCCATTTATGATCATTGCAATAGAGCTTTTGAAAACAATCAAATTTATTTTAAAATCAAAGTTATTGAAAGATAACACATTTACATTTTTTAGTTTAGCAATGAGCTTTAGTAAATGTATACCGTTGAATAACCATAACTTCAACCAAGACACAGAACATTTCCATCACTCCAAACTGTGTCCTGGTGAGTCCCTACACTTCTCCCTTCACTCAGCTACTGGAAATAACATATCTGATTCCCGCAAGCTTTCCACTTCTGCATGTCTATAACTGGTATCATGTTGTTACATCTATCAGGGATTCACTCTTTTTCTAATATCATTTTCCTCACATAATTGTTGCCTAATATCTCATGGTAAATATGCCTCAATTTTTGATGCAGAAACAAGTCAATGATCATTGAAGTTGCTCTCATTGGGAGCTATTACAATTTAAAATAGCAGACATACTGAAGTCTAAGGGCAGATGCATGTTCCAGTTCTAGAAGAGAAAGCTAACTTGCCTATCTTTTTCTACTTCATTTTACTGGGCCCTTCAATAGGCTGAATGATGCTGGTCCAGAGTGATATAAGTAGATCTTCTTTTATGCAGTCTACTTATTTAAATGCTAATCTCTTCCAGAAACATGTTAACAGACACCTAGAAATAATGTTTTACCAGCTATCTGGTTATCCCTGAGCCAGCCAAGTTAAGACATAAACTGACCATCACAGACTTTGTATGTGTGTCAAGAATGGAAGTTACTGTAGTATTTTATATATAATTTAATTTTATATATAATATAATTTTCTACTTGCCTTATAATTTACTTTTCTCACTTTATATCAAAAGCTGGAATGAAGGTATTCCAAATCAGATGCATGGAAGTTAGTTCTTTTAAAAGAATACGACTTCCATTGGGAAGTGAGAATACAAAGGAGATAGAAGAGTCAAGGGTGATGTACTAGGTTCTAGTTTAGCCATCAGCATGATGGTGAATACAGGGAAAAGAGTCCATTTGTGAGAGGAATGCGATTTAAAAGAAAAGGAGTCCAAGAGTAAGGTCAAACTGAGAGAAAAACCAGGCAACATGAAAAAGGAAGTTGGTGCATTGTGGCATGAAATAGCTGTGTTGGACACATTTCAAAGGAAGAAACCAACACCTGCTTCTCAGATTTTATTTCTCTCCTGGGCTTGTCTCATTTGATATATCATGAGAATCCGAAGAAGAAAGCCATGATAAATTAATCCATCAATGTGGACTTTTTCCAATCCCATTCCCCTAAAAGCAGGTACCCAATTTTGTAGATCACTTTCAGATCATAGTTTCGAGCCAAAGAAGAGAGCCTCTTGTTTTCCTTTCATCCTATATGGTGCCAGCTGCTTTACAAGGAAACTCAACTTTGTGTCCTGGGATACTTGATTGCCAAGCTCTAAGTCTGTTATGTGACATAAATTAAGAGCATCTGCCAATTTATTATAGCCAGATTTTGGTGAGACTTCATATTGCAATTTTAATCCTAAATTGCAAAGTGGAAATCCTGGAGCCAAATATGGCTTGAGAGGTTCTTTGGGGGTGGTGTCTCATATAAAGTTTGTAAAAATATGAATTGTAGTATATTTAGAGACATGGTAATTCCACTGGGTTCAGTCTTGTAACCATCAACTACCCCTCTTTAAATCATAGTAGTTTATATTCCCTGACATATATAATGTAGATCCTAAACATCCTGAATATAATAATCTAAAGAGTTTATCAGCCCTCTTGCATCATAAATAAGTGGATGAAAAATAAGGGTTTGCTAAATTCCATTGTTGTGTTCATCTTTATCAATGATCTGGAAAGATCGGAATGGTCCAATAGATAGTGAAAATTCTATGACTACAGCTGATTTTTAACATTCTGATATTTCATTATGCTGACAAAGATTTCAATGAGAGCAGACAATGGTTCACATTAATCTATTGTTCTGACAATATGCAATGAGAGTGGGATGTGGTTTTAAAAATTAAGTCATTCTTAGTACATCCTCGAGATAGCAATCTCATCGTCGCTCTCAGATGCTATACACTTTAGTGATACATCACTGAAAATTGTCAGTGTAATGAAGGATGTGTCTTAGCTCTTGCTGGGATTGTAGAACATATTTGCTTTGTCTCACCACAGCCTGGCTCATTAAAAACAATGGAGTACAACCAATTGTACTTTTTAGAACACATATACCTAATCAAAATTGAACAAAAATTTCTGAAAACTTTATCTCGGTCAGCCCTAACGAACATTTTAATTTATTGCTCTCGTTTAAAAAATTAATAGGAATGGTAGCATTTCATTCTACAAAATACTAGACTGTAGGAGATTAGGATTTCAGAACCTAGTCCCAACTTATCAAGGAACTGATGATTGAGAACTGCATAGTAATCATCTTAGCAGTGATCCCATTGCATCATGAGCTGATTCCCATGGTATACAAGCTGAGTTGTGGTTTTAAAATTCATGGTCACATATGAAATTTTACTTGATGTTCATACCTCAAGAGAACTCCAAAAAGACCTAAGAATTCATCTAAAGAGAACAGAAAATTTCCAGTGTTGTTTTGACACCTAGTTCTATCAGTTCAGACTACATGGGATCAGTGCATATTTTAGATTTGTAGAAAATCCTAACAGCAACAACACAGCTAGCACTTACTGGGGATCATCAGTGTGCCAGAAGCTATGCATATGAAATTAGTCCTAACATCCTGTGATTTAGGTTCTGTTAGGGTTAGACACATACTTACTGTCACATGCTAGTAAAAGGTGTAGTCAAGGATTAACTGCATAACTTTCTCAGAAGCCAATGGTCATGGCCATTACATGGTGTATTCCCTGCTGCATCTTACAGTTAGCAAAATTATTACTCATAGAGGCAAATTGGCTTAATAGGATCTCCCAGAGAGTTTAGAGAAAAGCCAGACTGGAAATTAGCCTGCCAGATTTCCAATAAATGGTATTTCTTAATATGTCATATTGCTTCAGTTTATTGAGGCCTCTTCTGAATGTTTTTAACAAAAGATAAGGTTATTGACTAAATTTGCCACTAGATCTCAATAATTTGTCTTATTATCATGTAATTTAATGTTAAACTACACATTATGTTCATTCTACAATGTTTCTTGGTGGCTAGGCATTGTCCTCTCTTCTGAAAATATTAAATGAATAAAATATTCATTGTCATCAATGTCAATCATCCATTTAGTCAATAAATATTGACTACATTGAATATAATAGATTCCACATCAATTTTCAGGTAATATTTTGAACTGCCACATTTATTTACTCATTCATTTATTCATCACAGTGTATAATTTTTTAATATCTGTTCATTGGCAGCTACTATGATAGACAGGAGAGATACACTTATGAAGTCATAGTCCAAGCTTCAAGGAGCTTATAATCTACATGCAGGAACAAGCAAGGAAGTGGCAAATCAGTCGAATACATTTGATGCTATTGTAGTATAGTGTTCCACAGAAGTGCAACAGAAGAGTACTTAGAAAGAGTCAGTCTAATGTAATTCCTAGAAGACAGAGATGCTATGAAGAAAATTCAGGTAGGGAAGAGTATTCTAGAATGAATATTTCTAGAAATATATATATATATATATATATATCTAGGAATATTCTAGAAAGAATATTTCAGAATTTATGAATACAACCCCAAATGGCACTGAAATATCGATTCATTCATTGATTTAATTATTGATCCCTTAACCAAATTTTATTGAAAAACGTATTTTTAAAGTTTAATGATTATTTTTAAATTTCTTATATTTTTATAATTTAATATAATTTAATCATAAGTTTAATCATTTTTAATCTATAATTTTTCCAAAATTTACCAACCAAAATTCAAAAATCAATATATTTTAAGTTTAGCCTATTATCAACTTAGATTGTTGGATGCCATTGTTCCATATTGTAGTGGATGCCTGTGCTATGGCTCCTTAGTCTGATCCTATTGAGGAACAACACTGACAACCTCCACTCATATCTTTCCTTTTCTTGATAAACTTCAACTTGAAACCACAAACTGACCCCATGGTTATACACATCCTTGAGGCAGACTCACAAAACTGTGCTTAACTCAGTTCTCACTACTTACCAGAATGAAAGGAGAAAACTGTTTTTCTAGAATTGTGATGCCTATGATGGAATCCATTAACTTCAGCTATCTAAATTATTACATGAAATGGACCCAACTAAAATGCCAATTTCTAAAATACGGTAGATTCTGGGAGAAATCAAACTGTAATTCTTTGGAAAGACTAAGCTACAGTTCAACACCAAAGAAGGGGTTACTGGAAAGGAGTTGAGCAGGGTTGGGGGTGAAGGCAAGGGAGATAGAAAATGAAGAGAAAAAGAAGGGAGAATGCAGTAGAAGAATTCAATGTATAGCCTAAAAAATTAAGAAAATAGAGAGAAGGGGTGGGTGGAGAAGGATGGGTTGAAATGGGTGACATTGAGCAAAAGCCATTGTACTCATAAACTGCTTTATTGAATGGCATGTCCTTTGTACAACTACTTTAAGATTGTATAATAAAAGTATAAATAATGTATAATATATAATACACAGTATACTTTATTATTGAATATATCTTGTTATTAAAATTATATATGTATATAAAATAAAGATTCAGTTTCTTTCTGAGATACAATGGTCAAGAGCCTTGCGCTGGCATATTGGATAATGAAGAACATTCTCAGCATGGCAGAAAGTTCTCAACACCATTCTTCTCTAGGAAGCAGCCACATATTTAATAAACTATCTCAGGATAGTACTGAAAATAAATGCTCAATGGGTGTTCTTAGCCCGATGCTCTTGTAATGCAAGGTGTTCTTTGTGAAAGTAGAAACTAGCAGTTAATAGATCATTTAATCTATCTTTTATAAATAAGTAAAAATTTGATGAGCATACCAACAGGTCCATTCTTGAATCTGTTATACCTGACAATTTCCCAGCTGTTAGTGCATGCAGTAAGGTGGCTGGGCAAGGCTAACAAAACCATCTCGTCGTCACAAGTCTCAGTTCCATGATCTCTCATGCTGTGTTGCCCACTTTCTGGTGGAGGTAATAATGAGTGGTTTCTCTGCCAATAGTGCAGAGAATGACTTCAACAAGGAGATGCCAAAGATACAGAATATGCTTTAAATAATGAAGAATTAAATATCATTCATCTTAAACTAATTCTCCAGATACAATGCCAAGAAGCAAATTACTCAACATATGCTTATCAGAATCTATAAGCATCTCAAAGGATCAGCATGGGAGACGAACACAATTTATAAATAGTCCTTTTCCATTCATTATCAGAACTATAATTCGTTTGGTTGCTTTTATTACACTGGTTTATCAGTAGTAGCACTAGTGAAAATTCTCCAAATGGCTATAAGGTTAAAAATATTGGAGTAGGGGCTGGGAAGGTGGCTCAGTGGTAGAGCACTTGCCTTGCATGCCAGAGGCCCTGGGTTCGATTCCTCAGCACCACATAAGCAAAAAAAAAAAATCAGAGTAATGCATAAGCTTAGTGATAATTGGTTTTGATTTACCTAATTCTGAAAGGAATTGAAATAGTTGAAAGGAATCTAATACACCTAACTTTGGGGAAAACAAAAGACATATTTGGCAAGAAAAAGCACAATCTAAACAATAATGAGCAAATTTATTTGTCTCTAATTAGTAAAAGGTTTTTTTGTGATGCAGAAGTTAAAAAATTCCTCACAAATTTGCTCTTGAGTAATAATTAATACACCAGTTTAGAAAGAAGTTCATCAGTATGTAACAAAGTCTTTAAGATAGATATACCCTCTGGCATAATATTTTCCCCTCAATATATCATAGTATGTAGGAAAAACTGACACAGAAATAAAGTGTCTGTAAAGTGTTCAGAACAACCTTAAACTGGGAAGTGATTAAGTAAATCACACTAAATGTAGATTAATTAAAAACATGTTAACATAGAGTTTAATAATGAGAATTTCTTAACTGCTTAATAACTTATTTTAGAGTGAAGGAATTATACAATTGTATATCAATACAGATTCAACAAAATAAAGAATATACAAGAAAATCACAGAATATTTTAACAATGGTTCCCTCTGATTGATAAATTTCTTAATTTCTCAAGGTATACCAAGAACAAGTGTTATTTTATAATGATCAGAATTACACATTCATTCAGAATAATCCATGAAGCAAAATTTTTATTTTACCAAATATAATTTCACTAGATAATCGGGGTAGAAGGATAAACAGAATTAAATGGAAATAAATTTTGGTGGGAGAAAAAAGTTTCGATTTATCTCTCAAAAATCATTAAGATATAGACAGATTCTTTCAACACTACAGACTAAAAGATAAGATGCAGAAATAATTTGGAACATAATCCTCACACTAGTTCAGAGAAATTTTTCTAAAGGATAAACAGCATCATGTTGTTTACAAAGTATTTTCATCATAATGTACGCTGAATAGAACATGAACTGAGATAAAAGGTTACATCAATTCTTAATTAAATTCTAAATGCATATAAAATAGTCAGTAGTCCCTCCTCTCACTCAAAACAATAGCTACTTTGTTTTCATGGCTATTAATAAGTGAAGGAGTTTATGTTTATATCTAACATATTTGATACAAAACCTATTCAGTAAAAGTAGTTTAAAGGTTGGTTTTCAAATGGGCATGGAAATAATTAATTGTAGAAAGGGGAAAAAAATATCAGCACCCAGGAACCTACAATGAAGCTCCAAGGATCACAACATCATGATGTAAAATTTTAGATGAGCAATGGTAGAAATTCGTGCAGGTGGGCAGTATTAGGAAATTGAACAAGTAGTAGTATTAGCTGAAGTAGATTTGATTTCCTGATAGACTTTAACAAAAAAAATAACTGGCTCATAAATGTTACATAAACAATTCAATGTATTTGTACTACCAATATTTACATTAAAATATGTTTCTCCAAGAATATGCTGGTACCTTAGAAGCTCAAAGACCAGTGGCATCTCATATCTTGTTAAGCATACACAATATCTCTCGAGCCTTGAATTTAAGACATTGGGCAGTCTTGTCCAGTCCTTTGAATCTTTTCTTCTCAAAACATTATATGCATAAGCTATACTTCAGGTACTGGAAACTACTTGCTCCTTGTGTGTTCTTTAGCTCCTTTATAAACTTCTTCTGCTCCCTCTTTATTGAATCCACAGCTAAAGTTCAATGTACAGGGTATGAAATTATCCACTCTTTTGTTTAAAGTATAAAGGAAAAAGACAGCTGAGAGATAGATCACTGTGAATCCCTGCTGATATTGCACCCGTGCAATATTAATTTTGTATGATTTTTGTTTTGTATCTACATATGTTTCTTAAAATAAACATGTGAGGTTGAAACCTTTGCTTTTCAGCGGCTGCAGCAGCAGACATGGCTTATCACCACATCAGGCCACCCATTGGCTATTCCATTCCCAAGCCCATATCTTCTCTGCTGATGCGAGGGTGGAATGTCTGGCCCGAAGTGAGTAAATTTTGTTTCCTCTTATAAAATGTGTTATGGTCAAAATCTGTCACAAATAGTGTAACTCCAAAGTCTATTTTCAGTGTATATTTTAAGATTGTCAAGGCGGGAAGAATGATTTGCCTTCTGCTCTTTAGTCTAATTGCCTGAAGAAATCTGTCTATCTCATATTTCTTCACTGCTACTCTCTGATTTTGAAATGTTTCTCACAACTGATTAGTGAGTGGGAGGAAAAAAAAAAAAAGGACCAGGGTATGACAGATGACTCAGAGACTCATCCCAGCTGCAATTTTATTAACTACGCTTGAGCCACACTTAGTCATTGTCTGAAGAAAGAACTTTGTCACCAGATGGAATTGTGTTGGTTTTTCACATGAGACTTGTCTTCAAGGAAGAGACCACCCCCCTAGGGTCTCTGGCTCCTGCTGGAGTCAGAAAACTGGGTCCTTACTGATTTCCAGCATTGAATGACTATATGAGAGTATGAATAATCTCATAGATTTAAGAATTCAAGTGGAAAAATCGGTGTTATGGAAAGATTAAGAACAAAGTGAAGTGGAATATATAAGCAGTGGAAAGAACATTTTAAATGTAGTCATAGAGCTGAGTAGAGTGGTGCTGCCTAATGATCCCAGGGTGAAATCCCACATCAGTCTCCAAGAAATGGAGATGGTTTGTTGAAATTCTTGTGTTTTGACATCAGCCCATTGGTTCTCCTTTGAGTGGAGGGTGTTAGTAATTCACACTGTGCATTCTTCACAGTCAGAAGCCTCATATATATAGACCTATTGGCCCTTATTTGTTTGGTTCAAACCATCCCTATTGTGTGTTCCTTATTCAGCCCTGTTTCTGATCCTTCCTAGACACTGTCTCTCTTCAACAGGAGAGCAGATGCAGTGACACTATTATTTCAGGAATTATCTAACCACAGGCAAAATAGAACAAGCCATGCCTTAGACATCTGAAAAGAGAAAGAAAGTTTTGCATTCTTTGTCTAAAGGCAAAACCCAGCCGCAGTCATTACCCAATCCCATTTGTATATATTAACCCTCTTTTGAGGAAAAATAAAAGTTCTTAGATGTGGATGGAGTGCCTCAGCAGATAAAGTCTTTGTCCGACCCTTCAAACTGATGTGAGATATACTTATTTGTTTAGGATCTTCTCATTACTCGAATATTAGTTCTTTGTTTTCTTTTGTTTATTGCTCTAACCCCAGCCTTTAAAGCCATAGATGTGCAAAAGCATTTGCTGAGGAAATGAATTTGAATTTCACTACTGCTGATCAATGCCTCTAATCCTACATCTTGATTTTTCTGTATAGAAAAATTTATTGACATGTAAGATTGAAAATTGCATGACTAAAATAGTTTCATAAAATAGTTCCTTGTCTTTCAATATGTACCTCAGGTGTGTTTTCTGAGGGAAGATACGTTAGCACCTAATCTAGAATTTTTTTTTCTCTGTGGGAAAAGAACTATGTCAAAGTTTAGCATAAAGTAATAATCAGAGGAATCGCGTTAGCTTTTATTAACTGACTCCTCATGATTATAGTCAATTTGGAGGTAAATGCAAGTCATTGGCAAGTTCTAAAATAATTTGAGGTTATAATGTATGACTTTAGCAAAATGTGGGAAAAATGAAAGAGAATCTGGGATAGAGTCAGGGAGAGTACTAATAAGGAGAAATATATTTCTAAGGACATATATAGAAGACCAAAACTGATTGCTTATTGGAAAAGTTGTACTACTCAGTAGTGAAATTTATCAGCAGAGTCATAGCTCTATTAATGTTTAAAGATGAAGGGGGGAAAGTATCAAGTGAAAAACAATCTCTCTAACTTGTTGGATATATCCAGGTATCTCAGTGAGTACATTCTGGGTTATGAAGTTGAGTTGCATTGAGCTGTTGTCATTAAATCTCCCAGCCAAAGTCCCACAACACTTATGAAGAAAAAGGAACAGTGTATTAATTTTTATTTTTCTTCAGTGATTAATTTATTAAGTCCCTACTCTGACTTCCCAGAAATAAGGGTTGGTAACTCAATAGAAATGCTCTCTCAAGAATCTTTTGGGCTTGTAAACATAGGTCCCATGGTTTCCCTTATTTGCAATATCTAGTATATGTCTGAGTCAAGCAGAAAAGGTCAGATAAGGTGATGTTAGGGAAATGAACCCTAAGATATGTATTCAAATGTTTTTTTTTCTTTCATGCAATTGTTTCTAACACATTTATAAGATGATTTCTTTGTTGCTTTGTATGTCCCTCCCCCGTGGTATAACCCCTGCTTTTACTGTATTTGATGTTGTTATAATTTGTAGAGGGGAAGGGAAAAAACAAATTGTTTAAATAGGGATACAGGTGGACCCATTGCAACAATGAGACATACAAGTCGTATGTCGAAAACGAACTTTACATCTTTGGTAGCGGGGAGGGAGGAGGGTTGGGTGGGGGAGCATGGGGAGGATGGGATGGGAAGGGGAAACAAAGGAGGAGGCTACAATGCTTGATAAGAAATATACTCATTAACTTGCCCATGTAATTGTAACCCCTCTGTACAGTATTTTCACAATAAAAGATAAATAAAAATTTTTAAAAAACAAGTAAAAAAAGAATCTTTTGGGCTTGAAGACACATAGAGATAAATTGAATAAACAATAGTTAATTTATAGTTACATACCAAGATGAGAGAAAACAAGAGTCTGTGAGAATGCATAAAGTAATACATAAAGTAATAGTAATAAGTTGAAAGACAAATTGTGTTGGCAGGGAAGCCTTCCTAGTACAAGTGATGCTTGAGCTGAGCTCATAAGCCATCAATAAGTGCTTGCTAAATGAAGCATCAGTGAGAGAGTAAAACAGTTGAATTGAAGAGACAATATACAGATTTATTGAAAGAAAAGATGAAAGACTTGCTAGTCATTGGATCATTGTAGCCACAGAGGAGTTAAATCTCTGTGCCTGGCATCATTTGAAACAAGATCTTTAAGTCTAAGACTCAAGCCATGCTATCCTAGTCATTACTTTTTAGCTGACCAAATACGCTATCCCTTTTGTTTCTATTTCCTTCATGCCTTGAAGTTAAGCACAATATTTTTTCCTATTGGTATTTTGTTAGTGAACTAGAATACATCTCTAGCCTATGGAAAAGAGAGAACATTGTTAGAAAGCCATGAAAGGCAGTATGATGGTATCAGAGCAACAAGAGACAGAACCCATAGAAACCAGAATAGAGAATTTGGACAAGAAATTTTAGGTGGTTTTTATTTTTGTCTCTAAAGCAATAAAATAAAAGTAATTTGGAGAATTGTATTTAAGTTGACTATGAAGAAGTCCTTATTGTCTTACACACACACACACACACACACACACACACACACACACACACACTATGTATTTCTAGAATGGTTAAAAAACATTGAAGGATATTGTGGTGTTCATAGGAATAGTTCAGATTGTTGCAAACTACATCTTCCACATTTCTCTGAAATGTTTATTACTGCAAAGATTCTGAGGCTTGATCCTACAGCTAAATCTAATAGAAATCTCTGGGCTGGAGCATGAAGCTCCATTCTAACAAGCACCCTAGAAACATGTGCCCCCAAAAAATAGAGCATTGGAGGACTGAAACGGAGGGAAAAGATAGTGAAGTCCTGTCAGCCAGCCTGGCTGCTCTCACTGTAATCCACTTGATTATAACACAGCTGACAATGGTTGCCATGGGGATCAAGGGGCAAGAGTAAGCCAGAGACCTCCTTCAAAGGAAGCCACATAAGGGAGAGTAAAACCAGACTCCAGAAATGGAAGACAGGAAAAGTATCATTGCTGCCTTCTGAGAATCAGCTAGTTACCAAGAGTAAGCATTAGACTTGTACATATCCAGGATGTATGTCAGTGAGAAGAGACAACAAAGCTAAGGACTGTATAGTAAAGGGATAATACGATGCAAAAAAAAATAAAAAGGAAAGGGACAGATAACTATATATAAAAAAGTAACTTGATCTACAAAGCTGAAGAAGATATCAGGCTATACAGAATAAACAGTAAACTTGCCATGCAGAATCATGGCATGGCTCTGTGTGTGTGTGTGTGTGTGTGTGTGTGTGTGTGTGTGTGTGTGTGTGTGTTTGCATACGTGCATATATATATATCTATATATCTATATCTATAGATATATAGGTATATCTTTTCTTTTTCTTTTTCCCTAAAGGTATGGAACAAAATAGAAGGGGGTCTGGGGAGAGCAGACAGATGGCATAGGAGTTCAGCCCAGGCAGAGAGGCTGACTGAATAAAAACAGAGGGGACAGGAATTGAAATTTAAAACAAGAGAGTTCTGAATGTTGGTGAGAAAGGAGAAGAAAGCTAAGGACTTTCAAAGGGAGAAAGTTTTATCTTTGCCTCACAATCTTGACTAGGAAGAGGAACAGGGAAAGGTGTATGCAATTGTAAGGAATTTTACTTTGTTCTAGTGACCCTTAAGCTTTATACAGATATAAGTATACAAAGACCTACCCAGATAAGGAGATGAGGAAAATAGGAAGATTAACCTTTGATTTCTCCCACTAGGAAATGTGAAACATAATATTCAATACTGTGAAGGTAAACTCTAAACACTTCACTGGATACCAATATATAAAATTGTTTGAATACTATCGAGATTTTTGAAATACATGTGGCTTTGGATGAAAGGTGTTTATTCTGCTATTGCTTTTACATCTAATATTTATAAGCACATTCAGTTCTTCAGCACAGGAGTGCTCACACCAAACAGTAGGGGCATGCTAAACTCGAGACCAGACCTGGAAAGCTTCATGATAATGGCTTATTTAGTTTTTCAAAATCTTGTATTAATAACAAGTGGTGATAAAACTCATTAAAATTCCTTTTGTTCCTGTTCCATTGCATTGATCTGAAACCATTCTTTCTTCTGACATGATTGAGGCTGAGATCGCCACCTTGTGGATATAGGGGATTTTGCAGACTTTGCAGAGAAATTCTTATTTTTTTTAGAGAAACAATAGGTTTAGAAGATTTCTACTTAAGACAGAGGATATTTATCAACAGAAAAATCGTAGATGGAAGAAATATACCAACATGCATATTGGCTATAGAATAGGTAACAAAGATGAAGTTTTATTTGTCATAACATAATTAGAAAAGCAGAACAAAAATTCATATTATATTTCATATACTCACAATCACCTGTGTAGAAAGCAATACGGTAATACCGCTTAATGATGCAGGTCTATCAATTTCCATAAAATAAGCATCAAATACAAAACACTTTTTTATATTTAATCTTCCATTTGTTTGAGGGTTTTATATTTAATATTTGGTTGCTTTTCCAGTAGACATAATTTTAAAACAATTTCTAATTCTTTGAAGAAGCATGGTCACCTAATTTCATGACGCAAATCGGGTGACTCCTTCACTTTTTCGTGTTATATTCAGCTGTGAATTTCTATGTTGTGGATAATGAAAAAAAACACTGAGGATTTGTTCTGCAAAATAATGCATTGGAAACTGTATGTGAAGACTGGAGGAGTAGTCTGTGTGCCCTGTTGAAGAGAGCTAATGTTGAACAGGATGATTATTTGGGTTGGGGTGTTCACTCTTCCCTGCTTCTACAGGCGACTCATTGGCCTACTCAGCTGAGGCATGGAGCACGGCAGCAGAGTTTTCCTCTGTGTGTATATTGCCAGGAACTAGAGAGACCTCGTTTTCTGCCTTGACACTGCTGTCTTTTAACTCTGAAAATAAGAAAAGTGCTTCCTGTGTCTCCATTCCCATGGTCCCCTCTGTGTGTGCGCAACTGTCTTTATCTGAGGGAACATTTTGAATTTCTTTTGAATCATGCACATTACTGTTATTTTCAATATCTATTTCATCATGAGGTATTGTGTTTTGGCTTTCATGGGAAGTTAAGATACCAAAATCTTTAACCATGATGGTGTCAACAGAACCCGAGTCATACAATACATGTGTTTCACTTGGTCCATTTTCCACAGTCTGCTGCCTTTCTTTGGTGGGGTGTTTCATGGTCATTTGTGTGGTCCACATGAACTGACTAGAACTGCTTTCGTCAAGCGCATCTTTGTCTGCTAGTTTTATCTCCAGAGCTTCATTGCCATCATCTCTGGGTAATGCATTTATGCTGTCAATTCCTTTCTCGCTGCTATTGGTAAGAAGCCAAGGAGCTTGCCTACTAACAGGAGAAGAACTCCTAGGCTTGGGAAGCTCTGTTCTATTTTGGAGTGTGATAGAATTTGTTGGTGAGTTGTTCTTGGAGTGTGTCCAAGAAATGAGAGAGGAATCATAAATTTCTGTGTTAGGAAGAGATTCTCCTATACCATATCCTTCTTTACCCATGCAACACTGTTCCATAATTTGATGTGATTTTTTAAAGTTTGCTATTGATATTTTCCCATCATTTCCAAGTTGTTTGTTACTTGAAGTTTTCTCCTCACATTGTAACAAAGCTTGATTCTGATCTAAAGTATATTCCCTGTTATTGAAGACAGGTGGGTGTATACCTTGAAGGTGTGATTGCTGCTTAGTCAAGGACAACAAGCACTGACTTAATTGGTTGGTTTTTGATTTGTCCTGGTCTATGTGCTTAGTGGACTCTTTTGCTTTCTGGTCAATAACCTCCCTAGAATGTGGAGATGGTAAAATATTGTTTTCCCAAGTGTCAGGTAAATAACCAGGAAGTTCCAGGAGGAGTTGGGTTGTACCTTGCTCTTGCTCACCTGAGGATGAAGCATGTGAGTGGCGGTGTTCATCATTCTTTAGTGTATGCTGAGGCAATGTTGCTACATTCCCATTTGGAACCTGACCAGCTGGGTAACGCCTGCTCTGTATAGAGCTCTGCTTGTCTACAGACAAGGTGTCAGCATGGACAGGAAGGGCACGTTTAGTATTTCTTTTGTAATAGGGGGCCTGTTTCAGAGCATGTTTGAGAAACTGTCTTTTTGAAGAGGGTATAAGACAGTTATTACTCTCTGTCTGTTGGCAAAAATTCACAAAAGATACAGAATTTCTTTTGGCCTTTTCCTCCACAGTTTTGGATAACTTGTTAGGTGGTAACAATACTCGTGTATGCTTCTTTAGAAGTTCTGGCAAGGATTTTTCTGGGTGGACTCTAACTTTCCTAAAAGGATGTAAATGTAATTTAATCCTTTTGATAGATGGCCTAGTTCTCTTGTTCAGAAACTGTGAATCAGCCAACCATTTTCGCTCTTCCTTTTTCTCTCCAGGGTTGTTACATTTGGTGTGATCCAAAGCAGGCCCTTGGTTACTTTGATTTTCCTGCTGTTTCTGATGGGCTGATGCTTCAGGTGATAGCAAGCTATTTTTTGCTACTAAGTCAGGATAATGAAAGCTAGACTTCTTTGTCGAATGCATTTTCTTCATTTTTGTTGATGACCTTGGTAAGCGTATGTTATCCTCACTCGTAAGAAATTTTTCTATTGCTTTATTAATTTGGATTTGCTCTTTCTCAAACTTGGGACATTCTCTATATTTTGGCTTCTTTTCCTTCATACAATTTTGAAATTGATCACAGGACACATATTTACAGATAAGGGAATTGTTTGGCTGAAAATAGGTAGGCTTGCTCCATTTTGCCAGTCTTCGGGGATCATCATAGTTTGATCTCAGTTTGTGTAGGAACCTTTGTACATAGTATTCCTTGGGCTCACAAGGCTTGAATGCTGAGCTTGTAGTAAAGTGTCTCTTCCTGTGAGGTTGTAAGCCATTGTCTTCTTTCTCTATTGGAGGCTGCCATGATCCATTTGTTAAATGCCTTTCAAGACTTTCTCTTGCCAAGGCTGAAACAGATGTTGCATATATTCTTCTAAATGTGTCCGTGTTGATATCTGCTGAACAATAAATGTGGGAATTTAACACAAGACAGTGCTTTAATATTCCAACCAAACAGATGTGTAGGAACCTTACAAAAATTGCAAAAATTGGCTCCCTTGATTATTAATATTTCCTAATTTTTGGCCAAACCCACTAAAGATATATGTTTGAAATAACACTCTCTGTGGCCATATTTCAGTTAGCTCTAATGCTAACTTAGAAGTTGTAGAATTAGAAATATAAATGTATTCGCAGTTGATTATGTTTAGATAAGGTGTTGGTATTTTAGTTTTAAAGATGAATAATGAAAAAGTGGTATAGTATTTTTTCCTACACTCATTTTCCATTGAAACTAAAATACTGAGAAAATCACAAATGCAATATTCATGTCACAACCAAATAACCTAGACAAAAGAGAAACACTTTTTGGCCCACAGAAAAGCAAAGAAAACTTTTTTAAAATTTCCTTTAACTTAATACAATATTAATAAATATTCGTTTAATGAGTAGATATATTCAAAGATAGCCTGGTTTCTATCACACTAATCTTGGCCTGAGAGTTAAAAAAAAACACACATAAGTATAATATTAATATATTAAGTAATATTAATAAAATTAATTATATAATTAATCAAGCACATGCTAAGAGCTAAGCACTGTGTTAAATGCTGTTGATTCATTAATTCATTTGATTTTCACAAGAGCTATGACCCATTGGAAAAGTACTGCTATCATGTGTACAGTATATTAGTATACACACACACACACACACACACACACACACACACACACACACACACATTCTTTTACAGTGGAGCTTGGAGAAGTTAAAATTTCCTCTTACTTAAACATCAGTTAAATGATGTGTCTAGGATCTGAACCCAGGTCTGTCTGATATTGAGTTATATCCTCTTAACCATGATGAATATTCAGTATCAAATTATGTCTTATCATTGTACTTCTTCCTGTTTCATGAAACTGTTTTAGTCCAAAGAAAAAGGAAACATTTTTATTAAGAAAGGAAGAGGAAGAGATGAACTAAGCCCCAGACTGGCATCTAACTAAAATCTACAATCTGTTATCAACCTTGTGGGTGACCTTAGAGAAACTTCTTACTCTAGGTGTTATTAGGTTAGACTAGATGAAAACCTTATATTCAAATTATACTGGGGAAAGAAGTTGTGGCCTTTATCAGATTCTCAGAGAGTTCTGGAATGCAAAGATAAACAGAACTGTTTGACTAGATCATCTCTGGAGTCCTTTCCCTCCCTGAAAATCTACAGTTCTGTATTTCCAAGTTGCAGGGAATAAATACAGAGATGCTGTCTCCTTGCTGACCTCTCTTTTAGAGCAAGTGTGTCCTTGAGTGTTTTCCCCTAAATACCTGCCCTCTACAGCTCTAGTGAAGTGTTTCTTGTGTGGCACAGTTTCATACATTTGGTAAAAGTAATTGTATTGCTGGGTGTTGATAGGTCATACCTGTAAACCTAACTACTCAAGAGATCTAAGGATCATGATTCAAAGCCAGCCTGGACAAGAAAGTCCCTGAGATTCTTATCTCCAATTAACTATCAGAAAACCAGAAGTGTTGCTTTGGCTCAATGTGGTAAAGTGCTAGCCTAGAGCACGAAAGCTCAGTGACAGTGTCCTGGCTCCCTCCAGTCCCACAACTTACCCCAAACAAAACAAAACAAAACAAACAAAAACATAATTGTATTGATCTGGCAAACCTATGTTTTCCATGTGAAGTGAGAGACTGGTTTGAAAATAGGGAAGAAATAACATTTTCTTTCATATGAAAGTTTCCCACAGAGAAGTTAGGGCTTAAGACAGATAAAAAAGCTGAAATGAAACTGAGAGGCCAAGTGCTTATTTCTTAAATATTATTTATTGTTTTAATAAAATAAAACCAGTCTAATCTGGTTTCTGAGGTGGATGTTGCTTTCTGTGGCTTAATTCCCTTAAGTCAAATCATCATTCCCCAGAACCTGACAAGAACTAGAATATGAGAAATTCAGTGGAATAATCTCCCTTCCTGCCTTATGCCACATAGGAAATAGCACACAGTTTCCTTCTTATCCAGTTGCTCCAAACCCCATCCTTAGGGGTGGGTCCCCAAGCTAAGAACTTTTTTGATACATCACTTCTGTCATCCCTATTTGGAGAGAAAACTCCACTAGTAGTAAGGCCAATTCCAACAAATGACAGGAACCTCTTTACAGAGCAGCTGTCAAAATTTTCTTTGCAGTCTGAAAACATCGGCACCGTACTGTAGTCAGGAAGCAAAAGGAAGACATTTAATTCATTGCCTCCACCTAAATATTGACATCACCCATGTGCAGTGGGTAGATGTCACGGCCAGATTCACTTGGCTCTCAACATGGGACAATGAATTAAACCCTGACTTTCCTGAACTGGGAAGTTATCATCCTTGACAGCTCAGCAAGCCAAGTATGTTTCTTGACATCATTCCTGAAATGAATCACTAGTGTTAGAAGGCCCATTCTTCTAACATGTCATGCTCCGAGGAGGTTGCTTACTGCAGAATTGGCATTAGAGCTCAAAGGATGTTGGAATGAAAGCTGATACCTACCCTCCCATAAATCTTAACGCTATTGCTATTTAAAGGGCTCTCATTCTTTAAAAAAAAAAAAAAAAGCGTTAGTTTTTGAGTCTCAAAACTCACTTTAAGTAAACAGAAAATATATTCTAAGCTTTGAGGGCAGAGATGCTCCATCCACACCTGACCCCTCTCCAGGCCCAGCAGACTACATGAAGAGAGAGAGAGAGACAGAAAAGACAGACAGACAGACAGAGAGGGAGGATGGGAGGGAGGGTTGCCAGTGATTTCTATGGCATTCCAATGTTGAAGAAATTAAAAGACGTTCCCTCCTTCCAGGACTAAACAGACTGGAATTTTCTAAAGCAAGATAAACTCACCTATGGTTCCTGTTTCCTGCTGTGGCAGGGTTAGAGACTGAACTTCCACAGGCTTGAGATTCCTTATCTTTTCAACTCTCCTTGGACAATCTCTTGTAACTAAGCCTGTATCATTAAAAGCTGCCCTTTTCCCAGGAGGCTCTGAGCATCCCGACTCCAGCAGGCTACCATCCAGGCAAAGCAAAGTGCTGTCTGCCCCATGGTCTTTCCTTTTCAGGTTTCTAAATGATCCGTCAAGGGCCGTGGACTCAGAGGCCAATGTTGCTTGATGGCTGCTTGCCTGTAAAAGTGGCATTTCCTTTCTGCACCCCACAACGGACATGACCTTTATCTCGTTTTCCTGAGTTAAGTGGCAGTTACAGTATCCCAGAGTGTGGTAATTTCTTGCTCCATGAGCACACGGGGATTCATCGAAGGTTCTGCAACAAAGGTTTTCTGATGTGTGTTCATTTGCTTTGCCTTGTTGGAGTTTCCAGTTAAATACAACTAAACCGAGGCAAGTGAGACCAACAGCTCCTGTGGCAAATAGAGAGACCATTAAAAGATAGCATCACAGGAAGGGACATATACATCACAGAATGTGAATTCCACAAATATAAAGGTGAATGGCTTGAAGGGCAGCAGAATGGGTAGAAAGTCCATCACCGTTTGGAAAATATCAGGCTAGACAGAAGCTATTTTAATTGATGTTGTTCGGCTTTCCAATTTGGAGCTGTCTTTATATATAATAAAAATTGTAACAACACCATCTGGGGGTCTCTTTGGTAGGAAATAAAATCAGCTTTTTCATAGAGTACGATTCATTCTAGGCAAAGTGATTCCATGTTTAAATTGTTTTTCTGCCTATGAACCAAAGTTTCTTAATTTCTTATTTCTTTTCCTCATAGTTAATAAAAATATAATATTGATAGTCTATATTGCTAGTCTATGCTCTGAAAGCCTCATGTACGCTAACCTCCATCCCCTAAAAGATACATTAATCCATACATTTTGCCATATTTTAGTTATCCCTATAGATTTATCAAGTGCTAGTTCACTGACTTCCCTTTAACAAAAAGCCAAACTCCTTTAAACCAAAATTCCGTATAGTCATCATACTATTCCTTTCCTTCCTAGCCTTATTTCTCATTATTCCCCACATTTGCTTCAAACTCTAAGGTGTCTTAAAACATAACCTTTTAGCCTTTGCATGAACTTATAATGATAGCTTATAACACCTTATCCTGTCTGTGCTTATTTGAATTCTGTTTTTCCTTTACAGTCTAAACCAGTGCTTTCTATTTTCTGGATGCTACAGCGAGTTTTTGTTTTTTTGTTTTTTAATTTTATTTTATTTTATTTGAGAACATACTGAACAGAGGGGTTACAATTACATGGGCAGGATAATGCGTACATTTCTTACCAAGCATTGCAGCCTCCTCCTTTGGTTTACCCTTCACATCCCTTCCCAGCCTCCCCCCTCCCCCCGAATCCCAATCCTTCTCCTTCCCCCCCCCTTCCTCCCCCCCACCGACGTTGTAAAGCTCATTTTGGACATGACAACTTGTACTTCTCATTGTTGCAACAGGTCCACCTGAATCCTTAAACGACTTGTTTGTCCCCATCTCCTCCACATGTTATACTGACATCAAATACAGTGAAAGCGGGGGTTACACTGTGGGGGAGGGACATAGAGCGAGTTTTTGGTTTGGGGAACTTTTTCCCCCTTATTGCCAAGATCATTCCCTTTCACAAATTGCCATGATCAAATGAATGACATCTAATTGGACAGCCTGGCACTGTCATTTCCTGTGCTAGGCAAGCAGAGCTTGGTTTCTGAGTAGAATTGCAAGGGAAATTGTTTCTCAAAGCAAGCAGGTGGGACTCCTCTTTTCCACCTGGTGATTCCCCATCTTGACAAATGATGCCCTCAATAACTCAGAGCATCAGGCTGAAGTCTCTGAACCATGTCCCCACAACTTGCATCTCACAGTTATCTTATTTGTTTCTTAGTATTTGTAACAGTAGAATGTTGTGTTCGGTCATTCATTTTGCCTGTTCACTGTCTGTCCTTCCCTGCTAGAGCTAAGCAGAACGAAGAAGCAGACCTTGCTCCACAGTCCATTCCCTTCTCTACTGGTGTCATTACAGGTTGTATAAAGGGGAGCTACCTTTCAAGTCATGTCTGCTAACACTCTCTTCAGGAGTGAGGCAAGTCTGTTCCCTCCTCTGGAAATAAGAGCAGTTTCAGGTAGGGGGGAGGGAAGAGGGAAAACAGAGAGGTAAAGGAGGGTGAATAAGGTACAAGTAGTTTATTTACATATCTGAGAATAGAACAATAAAACTTTTTGAAATTGTTTTAGAAGATGTAGGAAAGTTAATTAAGAAAGTGTTAAGGAGGAAGAGAGAATAATGAGGTACAATATATGTGTGAATAACAATGTTACAATGAAATCCTCCTTATACACTAATAAAAACATAAAATTAAAGGAAACAAGATATACATGTGCAGAAAACTATGATAAAACAAATTTCTTTACCATTAATGTACAATCAAAAAATGAATAAGGAAGGTAAAATAAACTCAGTTGGAGAATGAGGAGGAAGGAGAATGGAGAGGGAGAATGAAAGTGAATACAGTCAAACTACTTTATATCCATTTATGAAAATAGAACAACAAACCAGCTTTATTGTTTTTGGAAACAAAGAAGAGGGAGAAGGGAAAATGATGGATGAGGGAGGGGATGAAGTTTACTTCTCTATCTATCTATCTATCTCTATCTATCTATCTGTGATCCTACAACATTACGAAACTCTTATAATTCACTTATTAGTATATTATTTGAAAGTGCTGTAAAAAGTTACTTGAGCTATATTAAAGTTTAAACTTAATCTCTACTAAGGTGTAGCAAAACTTATAACTATTATATTCCAGAAATCAGACTTCAGGCTATTCCAAAAAATGATTGGGGTTTTAATATGTTAAAATACAGAGAGAATAATATGTTACAATATGGAAAGAGGGAGCGAATAACATCATTGAAACAGTCCATATTTCTTGAAAGGAATCAGTGAACTCAGGACTTGAATCGTATCCTAATACATTTCTTGGATGTGCTCTAAAAGCTCTGCTTTGTTTCTTCTTTTGTTAAATGAGTATAGTTACTACTTCCCAGGATTAAATGAGATAATATGCAATATGCTTACTATAGTGTTTTCATAGAGTAAAGATCAATGAGTTGTCATCATAGTGATTGTGACTACTGCTTATATTAATCCACCCTCTGTCATGGTGATAAAATGCCTAAGAAAATCGAATAGTAAGGAGGAAAAGTTTATTTGGGCTCACACTTTCAATCCACAGTGGTGGATTCTGTATTGGGAGGCCTGTGATATGACAGATCATCATCGAGGGAGCTTGTGGTAGAACAAGGCTTCTCACTTCGTGGCAGCCAGGAGGCAAAGAGTCAGAGGCAGAGACCTGGGTCTCAATTTTCCCTTCAAATATGTGCCCCAATGACTTGACTTCCTTCCACAAGGCATTGTTTCCTAATGCGTCCTGCAAGCTAGTGAACAAGCCTTTAGTATACAACCATTTAGGCACAAACTCAAATTGTTATTAAAATGCCAAACAAATCATGAAGAGACTATTTTGTTTGACTAAAGCAGTTGCTGAAGCAAATAGTAAAGACCCAATTTTAAAAAGTGCCCCCTTTTCTGAGAAAGACATCATTCAGTCAGGCCTGGGTGGCTCCTAATGGTAATCCTCACTACTTAGGAGGCTGAGATCCAGAGCACTATGGTTTGAGGCCAGCTGGGGCAGAAAAGTTCACTAGATCCCATCTCCAGTATAACCAGCCAAAAGCAGGGCTGAGATAATTTAACTGGTAAGAAAACCAGCCTAGCGAGCTTGAGACCATGGATTCAACCTCAGTACTGCAGCAGGGAAATGAAAAAGGGAAAGGAAAGGTATTTACATAGGGTTCCTTGCATACCTGCAAAGCCCAGGACGGTCATCAGGGCCACGTCCTGCCCTGGGAGAAGAGGACGTCTGTCCTTCACAACCAGGGTGGTGTCGGGAGCCTTGGGTTCACAGTTGCTCTCCGACAGCCTCAGCACACTCTTTGGCAGGGCCCCGGCTGGGGTAGCCGGCACACAGTACAGTTCCTTGGCATTCAGGAGTGTGTGAGCAGAAGACTTGGTGTAGTTTCTCAGGAAGCGGGCCAGGGGGTGGAGATCGCAAGAGCAGCTCCACTGGTTCCTATCTAAGCTGAGGAGGCTTAAATGCTTCAGCGGAGAGAAAACATCAGGCATGTGGACCAGCCTATTCCGGGACAGGTCCACTTCCTGTAATTGAGGCAGAGGCCGGAAAGCATCTTTCTCAATGAAGGAAATTAAGTTTTTAGATAAATCCAGATGCCTGAGACTGTGGAGGTTAGAACCTCTGAAGGAAACGTCGGTGAGATTGGTGATCTGATTGCCATCCAGCTGGAGCCGGGTCAGAGCCTTAGTATGGTGGAACCAGGCCCCTCTCAAGGTGTGGAGGGCGTTGTTGCTCAGTACCAGCACCCTCAGACTATACAGCTTGCTGAAGGTATGATCCGGGAGAAAAGAACTGGAAATACGGTTGTGCTCCAGTAATAATGTCTGCAACTTCGTAAGACCATACAGAGCATCTTCCTGAATGCCCTCAATACCATTCCTGCCCAGAGAGAGCAGGGCAAGATTAAACAAGAGAGACAGATTTGTGCTCTCTACAGAGGAGAAGTAGCCATCGGTGACTATTAGAACCCGCGTGGTCACAGGGACTGCTGTGGGGAAGAAAAGCAGAGACTAGAGACAGGATGCACTTGAGTGGCAGGGGAGCAGTGAAAAGAAAAAGAAGGCATGGATACCTTCTGAGCAATTGCATGCCCTGGATTGGAACAATAAACACAATGAAAATGATTCTCTGACTTCTAAATTTGAGAGGAAGCTGGCAATTTGTCAGAATGATGGATTTTTGTAATCTCTGTGACTGTGACATATTTGTTTGAGAAGCATAAACCCATCTGTCCCTGTGGATGTCAATATTAATTCAGTGTTTGAGATTATCCTCATTGATGTTGTTTTGAAGGTGGTTTTTCAGGCATCCTCCCTTTGAAGCTGGGTACTTACTGGTCCCTGTTCTGTCTGCTGTACGGATTCACGTAGGAGCTGAGCTTAAGTCTAAGCTTCTAACACCCCTCACCCTCTCTCTCTCTCTCTCTCTCTCTCTCTCTCTCTCTCTCTCTCTCTCTCTCTTTCTCTCTCTCTCTCTCTCACACACACACACCCTAGCAATGTGTATTTATGCTGTGGAGTCAATCATCTCTCAAACATAAAAGTGTGGGTGAGGGGCAGTGTGGGTAATGAGAAAGCGAGGTTGGCTTCTGCATTTTTACCTTGAGGCTAAAAAAAGTTGGCAACTTAGTAAGGATCTATATTCTCTCCAGACAACCTGAAGATCTGTCAGTGGGGTTCTCATTATAGTCGGGGCCACCTTGGCCTCCTGTCTTCTATCTGTTGCCTCCAATAAAGCCCATCATGTGATGACAGGTGGTACTCAGGACTTCCAACTGTTAAATCCCTTCACCGTAATCACCTCAGAGCGATCACTGCTCTGTCATTAGAAATCAAAGCGTTTTAACTCAATAAAGATGTATTATAATCAGGAGTTATTGTAGCACATCTTTATCATGCTAAAATTGTTTTGACTGCAAATGACAGTGTCATAAAAATGAGGGAGTCCATTGTCCCTGGGTGGTCTACAGGTGATATTAGAACAGTCAGCCATAGTGGAAGCACATTGCAATTCCCTTATGAAATTCAGACTTCAGAGCTGAAACAAAGAGATTTTTTAAAAAGTAAAAGACAAAGAAGTCTCTGAGTGCCTTCTTTTGGAAGAATTGCTTTTCTCCCAGTAGCAAGAAGGATTAAATCAGGGATTTGTTTTGTTTTGTTGTGTTGTTTTGCTTTTGCTATTGATTATTTGAATTCTATTAATCCCAGCCAGTTTGTCACTTGGTTCTTCTCATTGTTTTTGATATGAGATGCATGAGTTTTGTTTCTATGGGCCCTCCAGTCCTTTGGGGATTTGTGGACTCTGAATGAGCAAGCTATTATTTCTGTCAATTACTTCTTGTCTGGAACTAGACAGGAGCTACTACATGTGGCATTCTGTGAATGAGGAATATGTAAAGTGTAGCAGTGTAGATGAAAAATGTTTGCTTCATATACACATCAACTATATCGGATCACACACATGCCAACAAAGAGGAAAAGAAAACCTGTAAAGCCAGGAAAGTTTAGAGGGTTGAAAGTTTAGTGTGTTTAAGTGCCTTCAACCCTGATTGGGAGCAATATGCATGCCAACTAACCTTGAAACCTTTTCTCATTTGTCATCAATGATGATAATGTCTACCTCCTAATTCTCACAGCATTTGGGGATTTTAGAAATGAAAGAAATGATCTGTTTTGACTCTGCCATAACTCAGGCTGACTGAAAATTTCCCACTGGCAGAATGATAGAACTTATAGCTTGTTTATCTCTTCTTGGATATCAGAATGTAAATCACATTCTCCTCAAATTTGTTAATAAGGTGTCTTATTAAATTGTTGACTTAAGCAAGCAATATGTAATGAATACAGGCAGTGTATCTTGTTAGCATTTCTACAGCTCATTTACCACCAATAAAAAAAGACCAGACTTTCAAAATGAGATGTACTGTGATAATAATCTGTTTCACTGGTACATCACTTAATCTTACTAATGCTGAACAATTTCAGTTCAGGTTTCTGATTCATTCAAATTTTTTCAGCTGGTGAATGGGTTCAAATGTGAACAAAGTATGGGCAAAACCAGAATTAAAATAATCGCAATTTTGTTTGTTTTGTGGAGTATGTAGCTGTATTAAGTGGCACAACTTTTTGCAATGAAAGCATCTTTATTACCTCTGAAAGTCTTACTACTCTATTAGTTGAGATAATCGGGAAGAAGAAAATAAAATACTGTCCATAGTCTCCTTAGTCACTGTAAAAGGTAGACTCCGTAAGAGTTTGCCTCTTTCACGCTGGAGACAGACAGCAGTCAATACAATGACAGGCAATGGCCATGAGTTGGCCAGACACTCTGCCCACTCTGCTTTTTGGGGTTGTTGGTTGTATTACCTACTACGTAGGTTAGCTGGTGACAGAGGGTTACATCTCTAGAGCATACCACACAGGACTCAGGGCATGCTGCCACCAACCGCAGCATTATGGCAAAGAGGATGAGCCATCCACCTGAAAAGAAAGCAGAGAGTAGTGCACATCATGATGCTGGCACTTATTATTCATGTTTTCAGGAGATACAGATCCTGAGGCATTCCTGTGATGGCTGCTTTCTAAGCACATAACTATTCCCATAAGAAGCCAGTCAAATGGCCAGAATGCTTATTTTATGTAGAATTTAAAATGAAATGTTAAAACATTTGACCATAAATTGAGAGAAATCATATCCAGGACATGCCCATTAGTACAAGCTAGAAAACAAGTGAAGATACTTTGCAAAACACTTTCCAGTTTGTAATGAATCACTATATCTAATCTTCTTAAGCTGCAACCTAATTGGAGGCTAAAGAAACAGAAGCTCAGAATAATATATAAACTATTTAAAGACACATAGCTAGTGGTTATTGAAACAAGTCTTTTAACTTTGTTCAGTTGAAGTTAATCTCAAGTTTGGTATCTTGCATAATTACCAGTGAATTATTTTATTCTTTACAGATTTAGATGCCACATTTAGGGGTGAAAAAGGATGTAGGAAAATTAAGATCACAAACCCTACCTAGTTTTGCATTCAGCTCTGCTATTTGCTGGTGATAATATTTTTGCTAAATTATTTGTTTTTTTATTTTTTCATTTTTGTGAAATTCCTATAGTATAAGACTATTATGGGAGTAAAAGGAGATACTCTAAGTATTCAGTAAGTGTTAAAATTTACCATTATTTCTATGTTTCCTAATCCCCCTTAATTATAAACATCATTTAAATCTTAGTTTTAAAAGCCCATTCCTTTATAATGGATTCCTTGCTGCAGTAATATTTTTATTGCTATAGTTTGAACTTGAGGTCTCATAGTTCCTTGGCCAGCACTCTGACAATGGAGCCATGTCCCCTTCAGTTATTTTTCAGATCAAGTCTGTGTTTTTGCCTGGGGCAGGTTTTGAACAATGCCTCTACTTCTGCTCCAGTGTAGCTAGACTTTGTACCATCATCCTAGATGAGCTTGATTTTTTTCCAAGAAAATAAAATAAAAACCAGAAAACATAAAGCAGTTTGTAATAAATCCTTCACCCCACATGATGTGATAGACCTCAAACAAAATAAAATGTAACTAAAACAAAATTAGTCTATCATTGACTCAAAAATATTTAGAGTACCCTCTGTAGACAAGACTCTGCTTATGGCACTGAAGATAGAGGAATGGACATCACACCCCTGCCCTGATAGGATATACATTCCATGAGGAAATGTCAACAATAAAGGACCAGCTAATTTGTACTAGAATGTACTATAATGCATTATAAACAATGATATCTGAAGTCATTTATTACATAATAATAGTTATTATGCTCTGGCAGCTTTGGATTCTTTCCTCTGTCATTTTCAAGAAAGTAAATTTCTCAGAATTTTAATGTTTCCTTGAGATGCAGGCAGGAACTGTTTCAGAAAAGAGAGATTGAAAACTTATTTCATATCCTTTCTTCCTACTCCCATCCAGGACTTCCTTGATTTAGTTATTCTCCGGTGCCTTCAGAGTTTAGAGTTGTTACCTATGGACGGGTTAATGTTATATAAGCTACTTGACCATTCAAATTCTAGATGTATTTCAAAGGCAGATCAACTTATGTTTTACTGAGGGATTGGATACACATCTAACCAATGGTTTGGGACCTCTGTAATATACAAGGAGGTGATAGCTGTTTACTGAAATACAAGAGACTATAAATGCATTTGAGTACATGTGTGTATTAGAATTCAGGAGAGAACACTCATCTAGAGATAGACTTCTGGAAAATTGCAGAACTTTCGTTCTAAGATATGAGCCTGAATTAATTCTTCCACAGTTTGATTCTGAATTGGGGAGTTAGGAGGCTCCAATTCTGAGTCCTGGAACAGTTCAACACTTGAAGATAGAGGAGTGATGGTATGAAATGAAGTTCATCCCACTAATGAACCAGTAGGAGAACTTCAAATTCAACTAAAAATTACATAACAGAAGAATGATCATTTATTTAATGAGATGAACACTGAAATTTAACTTTGAATTTAGCAATGAGGAGATATTTATGCCCTTGACAAGAATATTTTAGCAGAATGTTGTAGGAGAAAGCTTGATTTGTATAGCGAGATTGAGAAAGGGGTAAGAAGAGACAGCAAATTTAGACAAGTTGTTAGAGCACTTTTTCAGTAAACATGAACAAAATAGTAGAGTAGAATTTTGAGGAGGAATCCATACAAGAGTTGTATCTTTTTGCTTTTAAAATGCGAGAATATATAGATTTTTTATGTTGGCAGGGAAAGTGAGAAGAGTAATTATGCAAAAAGTAGAAGAGAGAATTATTGCTGGAGCTCACACTGAAGGAGTTGTCCTCATATAGAAATTTGTTTGCAAAAAAAAAAAAAGAAATTTGTTTGCAGAAACAAAAGTGTAGGCAGATTGTCTTTAGCCATAGGTAAAAAAGTTCAAGTAGTGAGAGCTAGAGTTTTGAGGGGAGCATGGAAGGTGTAAAATAGCCATCAAGGGTGTGGAAGAGTAAGTGAGCTACAAATATGTGATAAACTTTATGTGATGCACCAAGGATCCACTTAGTATTAGAAGGTAATATTTTTAAAATAAGGACAGTTGGGGCTGGGAAGGTGGCTCAGTGGTAGAGCGCGTGCCTTGCATGCCTGAGGCCCTGGGTTCGATTCCTCAGCACCACATAAGCAAAAAGAAAAAAGCCGGAAGTGGCGCTGTGGCTCAAGTGGTAGAGCGCTAGCCTTGAGCTGAAGAGCTGAGGGACAGCGCCCAGGCCCAGAGTTCAGGCCCCATGACCAGACCCAAAAAAAAAAAAAATAAGGACAGTTGGACTTAATGAATATAGGAATTTTCTCAATAGTACACAAAATACAAGAGAGTCATGCTGTGGAGAAGGGAGTGATAATAGGAAGTGATAGCTAATGAATTCAAGGTAGCTAATGGAAAAGTAAGAAAATGAGATGACAGGGCTGGGAAGGTGGCTCAGTGGTAGAGCACTTGCCTTGCATGCATGAGGCTCTGGGTTTGATTCCTCAGAACCACATAAGCAGAAAAAGCCAGAAGTGATGCTGTGGCTCAAGTGGTAGGGTGCTAGCCTTGAGCTGAAGAGCTGAGGGACAGTTCCCAGGCCCAGAGCTCAGCCCCCACAACCGACAAAAAGAAAAAAAGAAAAAAATAGAGAATGAAATGACAGTAAAAAGTTGATAAGATAAGCAATAGAAGGAATAGTGGGTTATATAGGTTGGTAGATATATATATATATATTACATAGATAAATACTATTTAGTCAAGGTAGTAGCCAAGCAAAGAGAGAGAGTGTAGAGTGTCTGACAGAGAGTAAATAGGTAGAGAAGACAGAGGGCTCTTCTGGCCATGTAAATAAACAGGCAGGGGCTAGGATATAACATGGACTTGAGTGCCTCTGTGGAGAGAGAGAGGATATACTTACTGGAGAAAAGAAGGCAAAAACCCAGAAGTATAAAACTTTTTTTTTTTTTTTCTGCCAAGGACCATTTGAATATGTATGACATCATTTGAGAGCCATTCAAAATCATGGGTAATAAAGGCCCAGGAAAGTCTTATGAGTGAGCTAGTTGTTAAAACTTTCAAAGAATGGGGGAAATAGACACTGAAAATGATGACAAGCTGGTATATAGTTAGGGGAGAAAATGTTTCAAAGTAGCAGTGATAGCAAGAAAGACATAGGCCCTCATTTACCCACTTCTCATCATACCAACTTACAGGAGTGTGCTCCAGAAAACAGCTTCCACATAAGAGGGCTCTGGGGAACCACAGTGTCCTCAGGGAGGGCTGGATATTAAGGGAGAAATTGTTCTACTAAGAATCTAAATTAGTTGGATGCTGTACCTGAATGTTAAATTGGTCTCTCCACCTCCTGGCAGTGAAAATTTCATAAAGGGAGAAATGAGAGGATATATAGTCATTAGGAGCTGACAAAAGAATGATCTAATTTCTTTAAAAGGGACCAATATTTTCTCAAATTCTCCAAATTCTTCCTGTAGATCCATAAGCTTGCACATACAACAAATCTTGAAATACAATCAGAATAGTGAATGTTTATGTAACATCGAGGCCCATAGTTACCCACATCTTTTATTGAAGTTTTTGCAACTAAAAGCTTTAAACCCTAAACTAAGATTTAGATTTGAGGTTTCTATCTTGACCTTAGTTTTACATGTGAGATGTCTTCTCCATTGTGAAGTTAATTACAAAATTAGATATAATGGTTCCTTTCCATTACATACATGTGCAGTGGAAGGCCCTGAGATAGTTAATAGTTCTTAATATTCACTTTTATTCTTTCATTTTGAAGAAGAAAACTTGCCATTTAAAAACAGGCAAAGCTAATTAAAGCCTTTTCACTATTTCATTATCTGAATGTAGTTGCAAATTCTGACTTAAAACTCTTATCAGAAGAAGCCTCAGTGTCCTGCCAGGAACAGCAAATGAACATTCAATTAACACTTCAATACAAGGTTATTTTAAATAAAAACATACTTTATTACTAATCTCATTCTTTACAAATGCAAATACTCAATTTTAAAATCCAAAGAGTTTCCTTCCTTTTATTCTTAAGAGGAAAAAAAAACTCTTTTCTATATTTGCAGGGAAGACCTGAGTTTTCTGAAGTTGTTACAAAGTTGGAGGACTGTCTCTGCAACATTGAGGTAAGAACTTTACCTTCTGCAATATGTTCATGAAAAAGCTGAGGATTGCTAAGGATGTCAGGGGATGTAGTTACTTAGAGACCCATAATCCCATTCATTTGTATCCTATTCCTGAAACCATATAGTAGACTGAGCCGAGTTGATGGGCTCTATAAGAAAGAAGCAGTACATTCAGAGTGAATTTGGGTAATTCCTACAAATAATCAGGCAAGCCAATAGTAGCAGTGATGCTCAGTTAATACAAGTGATGTACAAGCCTCATGCTGGTGGCACATGTCTGTAATTGTAGCTACTCAGGAAGCTGAGATCTGAGGATCACAGTTCAGAAGTAGCCCTGTAAAGAAAGTCCATGTGACTCTTATCTCTAATTAATCACACACACACAAAAAAGCCAGAAATTGAGCTGTGTCTCCAGAATCCCTGACCACAAAAGCTCAAGGACAGCACCAGGCTCTGAGTTCAAGCCCCAGAACCTGCACAAAACAAAAAGTTATATTAAAATTTATTCACAATAAATAAATAATTTTGTTTTTTAAATAATTTTGTTTATAAAAATTCCTAGATACGGTGAAATATAAGCTAAAATTTTAAGCCATTGTTCATTTATGTTCAGTGAGAAAGGAAAAAATGTCACTAAAATAATGCATAAATTAGTTGGAAGGCATTGATTTCATACCACAGAAAGTGATATGTGTTGATAATCAGGCTAATGGAGTTTTCTTCCTTAATGTCAAGGAGCTATTTGCTTTAATTGTCTCTATAATTGCTTTAATTTGTTATATACCTGGCCAGGAGACAGCATTTTAGTGAAAGAGCTAAAACAGGAACAGCAGTTCAAAAATAATATATTTAAAAACGAACAGGAGGGGGAGAACATCCCACATCTAGGATCATAGCTATCTCAACCTAATTTCAAAGAGGAACTATCCAAATAAAGGTTTCCTTCCTTAGTCTACATCTCAGCTAAGACAAAAAATCCAGCTAAATAGGCTTCAAGTCTGCAGGTTTAGCCTGCAGTCAGTGTCTTTATCTCCTGACCCTACTAAAACTTCTAAGTAAGAAGCCTTTCAAATAGAAAGGGGATTCATAGCCTCATTTGTGCTCTCTTTGGTATTGAAATTTACAGCAAATGGGAGGATATAAGTTTTTCTGGTGAGTTTTCAAGAGCCCATATAGGTAAGGACATTTGCCAGCAGACTTGGGTGTACAAAGATACCTTCAGGATTTGTGTTCCAAATTTTCTCTCTCTTGGAATTGTGTGGAACATGAGATATATCCCATAAGAAGGGTGAGATAGTGATCAGGAACAATGGTAGGATGCTAGGCTAGCTTTCCTTATTATATTGACCAAGCCTCTTAGAATACTCGTCTCCTCAGAGAGGAGTTTGTGACAAGCTAGCAAAGAGAGTTTTCAGAATCCACTTGCACTAATGGACCAGTTAGCCTAAAGGACAGTGAGTTGTGCAATCTCATCAGTCTGTTCTCTCCACTTTTCAGTCACTTAGAACAAGGTCAAGAAGGAGCTGTCAGCTGGGTGCCAGTGGCTCACGCCTATAATCCTAGCTACTCAGGAGGCTGAGATCTGAGGATCTCCGTTCAAAGCCAGCCCAGGCAGGGATGTCTGTGAGACTCTTATCTCCAATAAGCCACCAGAAAATAGGAAGTGGTTCTGTGGCTCAAGTGGTAGAGTGCTCGCCTTCAGCTGAAGAGCTGAGGGACAGTGCCCAAGCCCAGAGTTCAAGCCGCATGACCAACCAAAAAAAAAAAAAAAAGGAGCTGTCCCTCACAGTGAGAGGACAGAAAATAGTTGAAAGCAAGATTCTAGAATATATTGAGAGATGAAGCAACAGGTATGTCTGTTGGTATAAATTTAACAGGAAAAATAGGATGCTGTGCCCCAGAGTGAAAGAAACAATAGTGCAAGTATGAAGTGATGGAGACAGAGATGTAGCACAGAAACTTCATGACTGTTAAGAGAAGAATCAGCTTATTGGCAGGTGGAATGGAAAGTGGTTGTCTTGTTACAGAACAAAAGATAAGATCACTTCCTGTTCTGACATGGCCAACCAAAATGGCACATCATTCCATCTCTGATCCTTTTAAATGAATGATAACAGAGATTCACTTTTTTAGAAGAGTTCAAAATAGTGAATAAGTTGAAAATTGTGTAATATAAGAACAATTGGAGGAATCAGTGATGCTTACATGCAGAAGGGATCATTAGGTGAGTTGTCAAACAGGTAGTTTTAAGCTATCATGTCACCAAGGAATTGTCTTGGTTCTCTTTGTGGGAACCCTGCTACAGTAATAATGAATGCTTCATCTTACGAAATGATAAGTATTCTTGGAAAACTGTTTAAGTCCCTATTACATCAAAGGGATAATTTTAGCTACAACTGCAATTTTGCTGCCATAATGAAGATTGTTGAGAATCTTTTAATCATTGAATAATAACTTTTAAAATACCTATGCTATAAATCTGTCTTGGATTGTTTGTGAAAGCATGGCAATAAGTTTAACAAACAATCTCAAAATAAGTTGATCAAAAAGCAAATCAATGTGGAGTCTTTTGAGGAACCTCCATACTGCTTTCCAAAGTGGTTGAACAAGTTTACGCTCCCACCAACAATGTAGTAAGGTTCCCTTCTGGCCACACACCCTCCAGCATCTGTTGTTATTAGAGTTCTTGATTATAGCCATTCTAACTGGAGTGAGGTGGAATCTCAATGTTGTTTTGATTTGCATTTCTTTTATGGCTAGAGAGGTCGAGCATTTCTTCATGTGTCTATTGACCATTCTTATTTCCTCTTCAGAGAAGTTTCTCTTTAAGTCTTTCGCCTACTTATTTATCAGGCAGTTGTTTTTTTGAGGATTTGTTGTTGGGGGATTTAATTTTGTGAGTTCCAAGTATATTTTAGATATGAGACCCTTATCTGTTGTACGGTTAGTGAAGATCTTCTCCCAATCCATGGGCTTTTCTAGCAAGATTAATCTTGCTAGCTATGTCCTTTGCCATGCAGAAGCTCTGCAATTTCATGCAATCCCAGTTGTCCAACCTTTCTTTGATTTGTTGTTTTTCTGGGTCTCTATTAATAAAATTTTGGCATGTGCCAAAATTTCTCCACATAGAGCTCCCCTATGACCCAGCAATCCCACTTTTGGGCATTTACCCAAATGATCACAAACAAGACCACACTAAAGCCACCAGCACAACTATGTTTATTGCAGCATTATTTACCATAGCTAAGATATGGAACCAACCCAGATGCCCCTCAGTAGATGAATGGATCAAGAAAATGTGGTATACATATGAATTCTATGCCTCCATCAGAAAGAATGGCATTGCCCCATTCGTTAGAAAATGGAAAGACTTGGACAAAATTAAATTAAGTGAAGTAAGCCAGGCCTAAAGAAACATAGGTCCCATGGTTTCCCTTATTTGCAATAACTAGAATATGTCTGGGATAAGTAGAAAAGGTCAAAAGCTATGTACATATGACCAGATAAGATGAAGTTAAGCAAAATGAACCCCAAGATAGGGATACAAGTGTTTATTTTCTTGCTTGATATTGTGTCTAATGTATTTATAAGGTACCATGTGATTTTTTTGTTGCTTTGTATATTCCTCCCCCACAGTATAACCCCTGTTTTCACTGTATTTGATGTCGGTATAATTGGGGGAGGGGAAGGGAAAAAGAAAATGTTTAAATAGGGATACAGGTTGACCCATTGTAACAATGAGATGTACAAGACACTATGTTGAAAAATGAACTTTACAAAGTTTAGGTGGGAGGGTGAGAGGGGGGAGTGTAGTTGTGGAGGTGGGAGGGAAGGAATGGTAAGGGAAAAACAAAGGAGGAGGCAACAATTCTTGATAAGAAATGTGCTCATTACCTTGCTCGTGTAACTGTAACCCCTCTGTACAGTATTTTCACAATAAAAAACTCATTAAAAAAAAGTAAACTAGGTCAAAAAGTAAATTAATTTGGGGAAAGGGAATGAGAGAGTGAAAGAAGAAGTGAGACTGATTGGAATATATTGTAAATGTGTGGAACTATAACAATGAAATCCCCCTCCCCATATAACTAATGAAAGCTAACGAAATAAATATGAAAAGCACTTTAACAAAAGAAAATTAAGCTAGATTATTGCCATGAGAAGCTGAAAGGAAAAGCCAGAGCAAGCTGGGATGAATAGAAATTAAAATATGTGATATACTGGAATAGAAAAGTAAAATAAATTCCATATACTAAGCCTTTTGCCTGTTGGACTTATTAGATGATTCATTAAGCTCCTCTTTCACTCAGCTGATGTCTCCCGCATCGAGTAACAGCAGTGGGTCTCTCTCACCTTCTTCTTCTTCTGATTGCCTGGTGGGCCGGGGAGGGCCTGGACGGAGCCATGTCACAGCTTTGAGGAGCCGTTTCGAGTTGGAATATGCTCTAAATGCAAGGTCCTATGCTGCCTGCCCCCAAAGGTAAGTGGTCATGTGAACACCAGTCTCGCCATAAAAGAGACTCTTACTAAGATTCTGATATGAATTGATTACTATCAACAGGATGAATCACACCACTGGAAAGCATTCAAAGAGAAGGTTTGAGCACACTTTTAATATCACTCCCCAAATGTAGAATTTTTTTAAATTTTATTTTATTGGGGCTGGGAAGGTGGCTCAGTGGTAGAGTGCTTGCCTTGCATGCATGAGGCCCTGGGTTCGATTCCTCAGCACCACATAAGCAAAAAAAAAAGAAAAAAGCCAGAAGTGGCGCTGTGGCTCAAGTGGTAGAGCGCTAGCCTTGAGCTGAAGAGCTGAGGGACAGCGCCCAGGCCCAGAGTCCAGGCCCCATGACTGGACCTCCTCAAAATTTTTTTATTTTATTGTAAAGATGCTGAATAGGGGGGAGGCGGTTACAGTTACATGAGTAAGGCAATGAGTACATTTCTTGCTGAACATTGTTACCCCTTCCCTTGTTGTTCTCCCACTGTCCCTTCCCTCCTCCACCTTGCACAATCCTCTCCCCTCCCGAAGTTGTAAAGTTCATTTCCAATATACTGTCTTATGAGTATCATTGTTGCAATGGATCATCCCATGTCCTTGTTTCAGCATTTTGTTAATTCCCCTTCCCCTCCCCAAATTAGACAAATGTATATTCAAGATGCAGGATACCAAAATCAATTATAGTGACAACAGAGGATATACCATAGGGGGAAGAACATACAAAGAAAACAAAAAAAATCACATAGTACATTTAAAACAACAACAGCAACAAAGAAAGACCTCTTGTGTTCATACCTTGGGGTTCCTTTCACTTATCATCATCTTATATGGTCATATGTATCATCCCATTTGTTAGGAAATGGAAAGATTTGGAAAAAGTCATATTAAGTGAAGTAAGCCAGACTCAAAGAAATATAGGTCCCAAGGTTTCCCTCATTTGCAATAACTAGTATACATCTAGGATAATTTTATCAGATGAGCAGAAAAGCTCAAAAGCTATGTACATAGAAATTTTATTCTATGTTTGTTTAGGTTATCTAGCTTGCAAGTTAATAGCAACTATCTTTAGCATATTAAGAGATGCCTATGCTAAGACACCAAAGAACTTTGTCTAACATGTTTTGGGATTATCTTACAGAATGCAACAGAGGATTCCTTTATTAGGATCCAAGAAATAGCCTCAGGAATCTTAGTATCAAAAGTTCAGAGTTGCAAGAAACATTATAACTCAGCAATTCCCCTCTTAGGAATATGCCCAGAGGAATTTAAAACAGACATACAAACAAGCACTTGTACTCGAATGTTTGCAGTAACATCAGTGTTTTCTCTCAGTTCAGGAAACAGGCAGCCTAAAATCAGGGGGTTCCAGTGTGTTGGGCTCTGGTAAAAAAGGGCTCTCTACCTGATGTGGGAAGTTTGTCTTTTCCTCAGTGTCCTCAGGGGGGAGCGAAGGGGCTCTAATGTGTCATAATCTTCTTATAAATTCATCAGTTCTATTGAATCAAAGCTCTACCCTCATGATCTCATTTAATCTTAATCATCTCATTAAAGGTCCTATTTTCAATACAGGCACATGAGGGTTAGGGTTTCAAGCATATAAATTTGTGTGGAGACACAATCCAGTTCACCCTTACATCTCTAAAAACAAAAACCAAATTGATGCTGCCAGGAGCTAAGGAGAGGGAGAAATTAGGCGTAACTGCTTAATGAATGTTGGATATTATTTTGGATAATGGAAATACTTTAGAATTAAATAGACATGATAGTTGTAAAACATTATACATGTACTAAATGCCAGCAAATATCTCTTAAATGGAGAACTTCACATTATGTGAACTTTACCTCATGAAGGGAAAAGCAGAGGGGTAACTCAGATAAAGAAAAAATATGGGCCCACATTCTACAGTAGTAAGCTCTGTCATTTGCTTGCCCAAGTCCTAGCAGAAGGTTTTTATTTTTAGTATTTTCTTCTTTTAAGCTTAATTGTAAACTGTCAAGGAAAGAGAGATATCAGTGATCTATTGCTACAATTTGTATAATAGCTCATCCCCAAATTCAAAGATATAGAGCCATCACACTTATTTCTAGCTCATTGTGTCTGTGTGCAGGGTGAGCTAGCTTGGCTCTGACCTACAGCCTGTTTCTTTGCCTCCCTCTCTGTACTTAGATGAGCACATAGAAGAACATACTACATGGAGCCTTCCATCTCACGAAGGCCCAGACTTCACATGCACAATTAAGGCCTTTCCTCAGGTTACAGCTTCTTACCTTCTGCTGGCAAGTCACATTTAAGTCAGATGTCAGTAAGGAGAGAGCATGAACTTGATCCCTAGTGGAAAGGACTGTAAAGACACACATTAAAGGACATAGATGTAAGAATAATACAATGATTGATATATATAGAATAACATGGTATTTTGCTGTTCAGTAGCATTTAACATACAGACTGAATTTAATAGTAAAGAGTGAATGGGATTGACCCTTTGTGGAATTAGTAGCCATCTGTCTATGCATGTGTTCTTAGAGTGAGGTTGAGTTCATATTTTATTAACCTAAACAAGGCCACCAATAGTCTCTGTTCTAAATGGAAGAGCTGAAAAGGCAGCAACTATGAGCTTGTAGACAGTAGACCATGCATACTACATACCCTAGGAGAGCAGAAAAGGTGGACAAAGCCTATTTCCTTCATGTGAGCTTCAGAGCATTTGCACTTACATATGATCTTCTTCATGCATCATCAGTGGAGAGGTTTCCATTATGCTAAAGGTGGGGAAAGGCTATCAGGAATCAGCAAAGATTTATACAATCTACAAATTGCTGCTACTAGTGCTATTTTGGCTTCATTTATTCTATTTCTGGCCTGGCAAAAAGAGCCACAACTGCAACTTTAAAGGAATGGGAATCTGAATCATGAAGGCAGTAATCTAGGGGATGTTATGAAATTAAGTACCAGCAAGTTTGATTGATCACCAGGCAGACTGGACACAATTCTTTATTGGACTGCAGTCTCTAACATCATTTCATAAAGGGCCCATAAGCCAAGGTTAGATTAGGTTTGGTCACATCATCTTCTAGTTCTATCTGTTCTTACTCTCCATTTTTTTTAACTAAATAATTCTCTGAACAGCGAGATCTTTATTTCTCAAGCACAGTCGCCTGAGCCTTGTCTACTCAAGACAGAAGTTAAGGGGAGAAGCTTGTAGAACAGAGATCTGAGGTTCCCCCTTTGCTTTGCCATTTACCAGTTCAATGACCTTGGTTAGGCTGTTTAAGTCTCATGTGTAAAATACAGATAATAATACCAGCTTGTAGGACTGTTATAAGAGACACTATTATCTCAGTCCTGACAATAAGTGATTGAAAGATAAAAGCAGACCTAAGCAAAGAATGCAGTTCTGTTATTGTAGATAAGCCACAGAACTTGGAAAACATGGAAAGCTACACATTATGGGAGGCATTGTAGCACTATCAGTTGGGTGAGTTAATGATGAAGGGAACAAGCTTCTCAAGTCTTTGAAAACGCAGAAAGATATACCACTACTAATAAAAGTGCTGAACGGAGTGCCCAAACCCATCAGGTGTTTTGGAGCTATTCCCTTTGATATACTCATAAATTTTTATAAGCCCTTGGTTCTTCATGAGTGCTAGGAAACTCTAGTGTTTTTCTACATGCAAGTTGCTCTGAACATCCTAGCACTAGCACATCATCGTGCATTTTTCTGTGAGGGTGGCAGGGAAGTTTGTTACTTGTACCAGCTCACTACCAAGCTCAGTCTTTGGAGTGTTTGAAATCAATATCAGGAATAGATAAACTATTTAACTGAGCTATAAAATGAATCAAAAGAAATTGTTTCTTTTTTCTCACTGCTAATTCTAGTGGTGTGATTGATATAATGTCAGGAAGTAATCAATATTTGTGTAATGGATAAAGAATAAAGGATTAGATAAATGGGTTCAATACATGGTAATTATTATTAATTTGGAACAAAATCAGTGAACAGGTTTTTAACTGTTTCTTTTTTTCCATTTAAGTAGCTATCACCATTGCACATCTACTACATGTTGAGCACAGTTTTAAACACATTGAATAGTTACATGATTAAGCTTTAAATGGAAGATCTTCCTATTTTTTTAGATGAAGAAACTGAGATTCAGAAAGCATAACCAGGTTGATGAAAACTAAGCAGTAGACCAAGTGTAGAGTCACACCCAGTACTCTTCTGTGCTTTCTGAATTTCTCCACAAGAGGTGATATGTGCTAAATACTTGGTATATCTTGCCAGTACTTATGTTTGCTCACCTCATTCCAGTTTGTTCTGGAAGTAGATCATGAAATGATTTCATGTATTCCTCATCAGCCTACAGTTTCAGCTTGTGAATTTGAAAGGAGAGAGAATTTGAGGACAGTAAGCAATAGGAGCTTAAGTCAAAGAGCCCAGGAACACAAGAATTGATCGGACAGGTGTATGAGATAGTGACTCTCAATTTCAGCAGCATGGTGGAACCACTTGGGGATCTTTTACAAGTACCAATGCTCAGGATCGATTAGATCATAGTCCATGGGATTGGTGCCTAGGCATCAGAAGGTTCCCAAGTTTCCCTGATGGTTCTAACATACAACCAAGTGTAAGAAGCATGCTGAAAGAAAATGGTACAAAGCCAACTTGACAGTCACTCTGTGGGAAGGAGATGCAATTGATGGGATAAATGGAAAAGGGAAGTGAGAGCAGGTGAAGTAGCAGATGTGACCAAACAGGATTATTTTGAAGTTTGATTACTTGTCTAGTCTCTCCCGAGAGTCCTTGCAGTGTATTACTTTGTAATTTCTTCTTGTGTTTGTGCTTCCTAACTAACATTTAAACACATACTAAACTTTGTAGCTTTGTACACCATTATTATTTTAAAAATTGGGTATAGGATTGACCCCTAGTCTCTACTAATGACTTGGACCCCTTCAACAATGCCTAGGCCTTAGACTG